TAGACTTTGATCACTGCAGTACTGGGGTCCCTCGGGCCCCGTCGAAGTTTTTGGGGTGCAGGGTTTAGGGTTTAGGGTTCAGGGCCTAAATTAGTTTTGCACGGCTGCCTAGCGCTGAAGGTAAAGGAAGCCCCCCCACTCCCTAAACCCTAAACCCCCCACTCCCTCAGGCCCAACCATGCCTCTGGAACCTGCAGCTTAGTGCCCCTGTCTATGGTGTCCTTAGCAGCTATGTAGCTATGTTTCAAGTGTTTCGTTTTGTTGATACAATCCAAAGGAAGGTTTAAGCAAAGCAGTCTTGTACGGGGAGCATATAGCTTGACCGCACCAGCATCAGAGTCAGGCGCTCACAGACATCTGCCGCGAGAAGGCTGGGAGAGTAGATTTTAGTTAGCTGGCAGAAACCTTAAAATCAAAGTCTCTGGTAGCGTTAAGCCATAGCACCCTCGAAGTTTAGGGTTTGGGGTTTAGGGTTTAGGGGTTGTTTTTTAGAGTCAGGGCCTATAAGCCCTAAAGTCACATTGTCCTGCCCGTCACGTAGTGATTCCCTAGCAGACCTTTGCCGCTCAGCCTTGGCTTTGCACTGGTGTTTGTGTGGCGAACCGGCTACATACTCTTTGGTTTAGGGTTTAGACTTTACCTGAACCCCCCAACTACCCTTTAATAAAGGGGGTATATACGCTACTAATATGGTTAAAGGGTAGTTGGGGGGTGCTGGTAGGTTTTAGGGTTTAGGGTTTAGGGCCGCAGGAGCCTGAGTGGTTCTTAGGGTTTCCTGGTTTGGCCCTTACATATTTTTTGCTATGAGCTAAGGTGCAAAACATATGCCATGTGCATCCTACTTCAACAGGTCCCTGTATGGCCGTGTCGTACTATCACGCGTTCTGAGCACACACAACAAATGCCAAGCCAATGATTTTGTTGCATGTCTCCCATGCAGCCATTCCCTTGGAAGCCACCGCGGCCCTACTTCCAAAACCACAGCGAATCCATACGAGGGTCCCTGAATTTGATCCCATTACTTTCCTTACAAGGTTCGGAAGTTGCATAGGGGATACGCGGGATGTAGGTCCTGAACACTAAACCCTGAACCCTAAACCCTAGGCCCTAAGGCCCTAAGGCCCTAAGCCGCAGTTACAAGGGCCCCTAAATCAAGGGCCTATACTACTTACTGTTAGTTAGTAGGGAATGAGGGAATGAGGTACCCGAGATAATCCCTTGAAGGGTGGGGGTGCCTCATTCCCTCATTCCCTACCATCCAACAGTAAGTAAGAATCCGAAGGCGCTTGCTGCAGAAGCCGAACATCGCAAGGTCGAGGCCCTTCGGCTGGCCGATGTTTTTGCGAGCGTGCGGTCTAGGGTTTACGTTTAGGGTTTAGGGTTTAGGGTTTAGGGTTTAGGGTTTAGGGTTTAGGGTTTACGGTTTGGGGTTTAGAAGTTTAGGGTTTAGGGTTTAGGGTTTGCTGTACTATGGTGCAGAAAGCTGTGAAGGTTGGGCCCCACAACGGACCACAACAGCTCTACAAATGCTTCGGTTTGGGTATTCACCTTATTCAGGGACCAGTACAGTTTGCTTTCTTTCCCCTCCCCCCAAAGGACGGGCGGTAGATATGTAAAGGCTAGTTTTGATCTGAACTCATGTTGAATATGCTAAACGACCCACGGCCTCAACATCTGAGCTTAGTGTCAGAATTCGCCTTGCATTGCACTCGCACGGCCTGCTCCCCTAAACAAGTGCAACAAACATGTCTTGAAGCGTTTGAGATGTCATTTCCCGTTTCAGTATGGGCATGAGATGGTCTTAGAATTCGGGAGCGCGATCGAATGAGTTTATGCATGTTCATGCGTAACGTCACCTGCATGAAGCTACCTCACAGGCCTTCCCGCTTCAACCCTACACCCAAACAACAAGCAAGCCACCGCATGCCTCCAGGATGAGATCAAAGCCAGAAAGTCCGTCATGAGGAGCCTGAAGCAACGGGTCCTCCCCTAGCCCTGCGCAAGCTGTGCTGGTGCTGCATGGTTTAGCACCACCGCAGCGTTTCGGGTCTACTGGAAGAGGGGCGTATGGGAATCCAGCTTGTTTGGAGTTGGTTTGGGGTTTCGGGTTTCGGGTTTAGAATCTGAGGAGATGACCTAAAACCCTGACCCTAAACCACGGCAAAGCACTGCGGGTGCCATCCCTGTAGGAAATCGGCGCGAACCCTGAAACTGGGGGCATATCGCCCCGTAAGGCCATGACCCCATGCAGGGTGCATCCCCCCATACTACTTCCAATCCGAATTCAGGCCGAAACCCCTGAACCCTGACTGCCTTTTGCGCGTTCATTTTGTCCACACCTTAATTGGACAGGTTTCTTTCTCCTCAAACTTAAACCTTGAAAGCTTACGCCCCAAAAGAGCCCAGGTTCTTTTAAAGACCGGGTTTAGGGTTTTTGGGTTTGGGCCCCCAAAAACCCTAGGAAAAGTGTCCTTCAAGCCACAAGATAAGCCTACCCTAAACCAAAAAAGCCCCCAAATATACGCTGCAGCCTTCCGTCCTAAAACCTAAACCATCACATGAGGGTACCTATTTTGGGGTGTCCTTACACAAGGGGGAGCGGACCATGTTGGTACAGGGGTGCCCCCTCTATTTCGGGACATGATCATGTATTTCTGTGGCCGTTGACTTGTGGGTAGAAAGAAGGCCCTACTTGGAGGTTCATGGTACTTATCAACCAATTTTAACTGTACTCACTGCACTTCTAGCCATGTTAGGGCACTTTAAGGGGCTCATAACTGGGTTGTAAGTCCAGTGAAAATTGGACCCGAAACCCTGAACCCTAAACCCTAAACCCTAAACCCTAAACCCAATAAGTACCATGAACCTCCAAGTAGTGCCGGTTTCAGGGTCCAGGGTTTGGCCTCTGCAAGGCGATACGACTATAGGGCATGGCCCTAACCCCTAAACCCTGTGTAGGGTTTAGGGTTTAGGGTTTAGGGTTTGGGGTTTGGGGTTTGGGGTTTAGGGTTTAGGGCTTTATTGACATAAACCCCTAAACCCCATGCCAATTTACAAGAAGCCCAGATTAACTTCTTCCCATCACTGGCAGCGCCACATTCGCAAAGGATACCCCAGAACCCCTCCGCGCTTCCCCTGCCTGAAGGAACTAAACATTGAACAAAATGTTCCATGAGACGAAATTCGGGCCATCCATGTCAGAACCCAGCGACGTTACGTGCGAACTCGCAGCATTTCGCGACCCCAGCAAAGTGGCCCCCGGCAGCCAATCAAGTGCTGTCTTATTTGCCTCACGCTTGTAAACATGGCCAAGCCTCGAAGCTTGGCTAGGATTCAGATCGCGGGAGAAGGGCGCATACTCCAAATAGCTAAGGTGTGACATGCTTGTGCTTGTATTTCCAGACTGTAACCCTAAACCCTAAACTAAACCCAGGTATTTCAGTGGGCTTTCGAAACCTCAAGGTCCCTCGGCTCCACCCCCCTGGTTTTGGGCAGAGGCTTGGCTTGGGCAACCACAACCCTAAACGCGAACCCCCGAAGTTACGTCACGATTCACACGTTAGACTTCAACATGTAGGGTTCAGATGGGTTCAGGGTGATACTACGGGACTGATCCTACGCGTGATCTCAGGAATGACGGTATTCGCATGGTGGTTGGTGGAATATCGACAGCAATGCCTCTAATCATACTGACCTGGCACATCATGATGGCAATTAGCACCCCATTTTTCTGCTCCCCCCCTTCCCTCCCCGGGTGATTGGGTAGTTTGGGATGTAGGCGTTAGGCTCAGACAGTACTTGTTTCAAACATCTTAGGAACGATCAGTTCGCAATCGGTCCCAACTATGTTCTGCCAGCTGTTTATGAACAAGGTATGCCATGACTCGTTTCTACCACCAGGCTTTTTCTCCTTGAAGAATTCGCCAGCTTTTGCTTCGAAGTCCTCTTCATTCCTGAAGCTTATAGACTGCAAACCCTAAACCACTCCCTAAAGACAACCCTTACTTAACCCTAGCCAGACTAAGAACCGTATGCCCCATTTCCACATCGCATAGCTCAGAGCGCTTGAGGACAAATTCTGACCTTGCTGCTTGCAGCGATTTGGTCTTCTCATGCTGACGCTGGCCTGCCAAGGAGGTTTTTGGGTCATGAGTTTGCAGCATCCCTGTCAAATCCCACCAGGTCACTTTATTGTAGTTCTGTTTTTCTGGCACGGTATGATACTAGGCATGAAGCTGCCCCGAAGAAGGGACTGCTAGAGGTCTTGTGAGGGTTTCGGCATTCAAGAACTGAGATCTTGCCTTGCCTTTGTTTGAGGTTGAGGTTGGAAGGTAGGTGTATGTGCCGGCAGAAAAATGCACAAACTCCCCATGCTGCTCCATCGGCTAAGGGTCGATGTTTCCGACATGATATCTATATATATACATCTATACATACATACAGTAAGAAATAAAACATTATATACATATATATTTATTTATTTATGTATTTATTCCCCACCTTCGGTGTGGGCTTTTCAAATTTAAACTCAATTCTTTTCCTCGCCCGGAACTCTTTTCCTCGCCCGGTCTACTCCTCGCTCATCCCTGGAGTGCCCAACGTGCCCAACCCCAGAGTGTCCCTGGAGTGCCCAACCCCAGTTGCAAGAACACACTAAGAAGCGTATATGAATCAATGTGTCTTTGGTTGAGCATCTTATTTGCGTTCTTTCTTTTTTTTATCGAGGATCAAGGTGAGGATGTTCGAAGTTAAGTTTTTTTGTATTTTATAGTTACATTTATTATGCTTGGCAGCCCAGTGGTACCCTTTACCATTTTTGGTTCAAGGTTCCCTTATAAAGTACCCAACCCAAAAAATGGTGCCCTATTATAATATGGTTACTGGGCTACCAAGTATACTTGTAGCTAGACATATACGTATATACGTACATGCAGGTATGAAAATGTCGGCACATGTATGTACGGCGACCAAAGGGGCACACAAAAAGTCCATCCGAGGACATGTACCTCAACAGCCGGGACCTCACCTGGGTTTTTCAGGTCTCCGAGTCAATTCGAAGGTTCCGGGTTTAGGGTTGAGGGTTTAGGGTTTAGGGTTGAGGGTTCTTTTTCAAGTCTCCGAGTCAATTCGAAGGTGTCGGGTTTAGGGTTTAGGGGTTGGGGTTGTACCAGCATGTCGAGGTATGTCGCACATACTTGCCCATGTCCTTATTGCAGTCCCGCACAATATAAGCTTCCTCAAGCCTGAAACAATGTAAACCCCTAAACCCAAAACCCTAAACTTTGGGCCCTAAACCCTAAACCCCAAACCCCCAACATCCCTGCATCCTAAAGCCTCAGCTCTTGCTGCTCGTCTTAGGCCCCCGTGGCTCCAACAACAAGTTGCGCGAGCAGAGCAACAACGTCCAGCATGCCGGCTAATAAGGATGACTGCTGACTATAGGGTTTAGGGTTTAGCGCCTAGGGTTGAGGGTTTAGGGTGTAGGATGACTGTAGTGCCACAGAAGGGAAACGAAAACATGCATGGCATGTAGGGTTGATCCAGATCACGGTTTGTCTGGCAGGGCGACTCTACTATCATGTTGTCCCAAGCTTAATTTGTTGCGTACAAAGAGGCCACGAGTCCACTAGTTTTGTTCAACCCCCTCATGCGCTCTTGATTTGATGTTAAGGGCAGTTCTTGAGGCTGTTTCACAGGCCGAAACCCTAAACTCTAGGTCCTAAACCCTAAACTCTCCGGGCCCAGAGGGTCCCTTGCAGGTGTTTGGGGCCTGAGGCTCTCCGCTCCAACAAGTCAGCTGTGGTTGAAAGACAGGTAGGTGCGCAAGTGGAGTACAGTAGGCTTTATACCCTCAACGCCGGTAGGTCCAAACCCCGGAAACCCGAGCCTTCTTCCCGCACCCGCAAAACAAGGAACGCCAACCGGTTGTTCGACTCCCAGAACAATGCGGCTTCAGGACCTACTTGGACTTATAGGGTTTCGGGTTTAGGGTTTCGGGTTTAGGGTTGAGGGTTAGGGTCTTCGGGTTCGGAGCTTGAAGCGTTCAGGGATTTAGGGCCTTGCGGGGCGTATTGTCCAGGAGCGTTCGGTAGGTAGCGATGTACATGAGATATTGCGAAGCTGTAGCTACTCCATCTTTTCCGGGCTCTAAGATCTCCCAAGCCCTGCACACTACCGGCCAAAATCCGCTCTATTCCCTAAACCCCAAACCTAAACCCTAAACCCTAAGACGAGACCTCTGAGCCAACCCCACAAGGTAAGATTTCAGCCCGGCCAAGCAACCCTCAACTCCAAAGAAGCGACCCTGAGTTTCTGAACAGGTTGAATTCGGGTTTTAAGGTTTAGGGTTTCGGGTTTAGGGTTTAGGGTTTAGGGTTTAGGGTTTAGGACCAGGATGTACAGCAACTCGCATACCTCGCCCCATCGATCCTCAACCCTAAGCCCCAACCCGCCCATATTCCTACGAGTGTATGCAGTGTAGGGTTTTTCTTAGGTTTTTGCTACTATTTGCTTAAGAACCCCAAAAGAACATTTAAAAAAACAACAACAATGATAATCCCTATATTACGCTTAATAGGGAACAACATATTTTTCGGGGGTTCTTGAGCAATTAGTAGCTTTGGGGAGCAGCAATCAGCAACCCACAGAAGCCCTGGAAGCGCACACACACACAGAGACCACGGCAGGCTACCAGATTGGGGACGACTGCAAGCCTGCCTGCAAAGATGAGAACAACAACTATGACGTCACTAAAGAAGGCGCCTTTGTTGCACTTGCCATGTTTTCTAGGGTTTCAGCTCTAGGACCTAATCATCCCGAACCCCTTACCCCTATACACCCAATACAACTGTTTTGGGGCTGAGGGCTTCGGGCTCCGAACATCTCGTCCCGCGAGGCATAGACTCGCCCTTGATGAAGGAACGTGCCTTATTCTGTGCTTGTTTTGAACAAAGGTATATATTTCCGGCAGATTGAAGCGATATTGGGACATACAGGCATATTCCTGAAATGTAAATATAAATCTGAATATAGCTTAGGTAGCTCAAGGTGTTTTCTTTACTCCAGGGGTATGGGGCGCTCTTGAGCCACTGAGGCGGCGGGTCTTCAAGGGTTTTGGGGGGTTTAGGGGCGGTTTGGGGTTTCAAGGGTTTAGGGTGTAAGCGTTTTGCAGTGTAGCTAGGGCTACAAGGGTTTCAAGGTTTTGGGTTTGGGGCCTTCAGGGCTTTCAGGGGTTAGGGCTGAAGAGGTTTGAAGGTTTTGATGGTTTCGGTTTTCAGGGTTTAGGGTTTCGAGGTTTTAGGCTTTATCGTTCGGGGTTTCATGGCTTTAGAGTTTTCGGTGTTTTGCATTCAGGTTTTGGGCTATAGGGTTCATGGTTGTGGGGTATAGGGGTTTAGGGTTAAGGGTTTAGGGTCTTAGGAGTCTACAAATTAAGTTTCAGGGGTTCATCGTTCTGGGTTTCAGAGTTTAGGGTTTTTGAAGTTCGGGTGGTGTAAGGGTTGAACAGTAGGCTCACACCATGAGCAATACGATACGTACCCAAAAAGGTCCAGGATTTAGAGCCTCCTGTTCCTACTACAGGTAGCATCTGCTCCTGTTTCCACCTTGTTTAAGATGCAGGACTAATGACATTGAATCCCTTGATTCCTAATCTCCCTTGAATCCGTAAATCCTGAAATCCTTAAATGCCAAACCCCTCAATCAAACCCCCAAATCTCAAAACCCGAAGACCCCCCAAACCCCCCAACCCCCCCCCCCCCCCGCCCAAAAACAAAAATAACTCAAAAAAAACACCCCAACAATACCCCAAAAAACCAAAGTCGCCAAACTCGACAGCCCTAAAACCCACAGATCTGTTCAGGTGCAACCCTTGGGACCATGACACTTGGCTCGGTCTTCGCACGTACCTAGCGAGGTTTACTGAGCCAAGGGAAGGAGTTTAGCGTCAGGGTTTAGGCTTTGGAAGGGTTTAGGGTTTAAGGGTACTGGGGATCAGAATTACGGTCCAGGGTTTAGGTTTGGTTCCATAGGCTGAGGGGTGTCAAGACTTACGCGCCGGTCAGTCTGATATGGACATACCACTTTGGCATTTAGGGTTTGGGGTTTAGGGTTTAGGGTTTAGGGTTTACGGTTTGGGGTTTAGGGTTTAGGGTTTAGGACGAACCCTGGCCTCGGTTTCGGGCATTCTTTCGGCTTAGGGGGAAGATCGTGAGCCGAAGCCCAACAGCCACAGGAGCACAACACCTACTTAAAGGTTCATGGACAGTTCTAACCGGCTATGGCCTGATATAGGGTACTGATAGCCTTACCTATAACTACCCATGAGCCTTCAAGTAGAGAGTCTTTAGAACCCAGACGCCCGGCCCCCTACAGGCTTGGATGACTGGATCCCTGACTTTAAAAAAAGCCACATTGTGAACCCTAATCCCTAGACCCTGGCCTTGGGATGTTTCCTCCTGAACAGGGAACAGAATAGGGGGGGTACTATAATCCCTATTCAGGACTGTTAGGGGAAAAGGGGGGAACGTCCCAAGCGTAGACCCTCAACCCTAACTTTAGCACCCTAAACCCTAAACCCCTAAACCCTAGACCCTAACCCCAAACCTTAAATCCTAAGCCCTAAACCCTAACATCCCCAAGGCTGGATGCCTAAACTCCAAGTTAGCATCCCCCATCATCCTCAGGAAGTTCTACCAGGGATCCGAGCTGTACATCGAATGGCACAATCAGCCACTTGGCGTGCTAGGGTTTAGGGGTTTAGGGGTTTTAGGGGTTTTAGGGGTTTAGGGGTTTAGGGGTTTTAGGGGTTTAGGGGTTTAGGGGTTTAGGGTTAGGGTTGCTATCCGTAGGCAACGTACATAAATTGGTAGCCTTCCACTTTTGGGGCTAAGAAAATGCTTATGAACATACACATGTCTTGAGGACCTCCTATCTAGCTGAAGTACCTGAACACGGACCTCAAACCTGCAGCCGAAACCCTAAAGCCTGCAACCTGCAGATTTGGACGGGAAGGGCAGCTTTGGTAGGGCCCATCATCTCCCTGAACCCCAAAAACCTACAAGCTTCGTAAGGGTTTCTAGGTTGGTGACGGCCCTCTGAATCTAAGACTCTTTAGGGGTTTCGGGTTTAGGGTTTACGGCCCCCCCTGAACCCTAAACCCTATACCCTAAACCCTTACATCACCCTTAGCCCTATCCCAAAACCCTAAACCCCCCAAAACCCAAAGCCCCTAAGCCCCCAGGCATGGCTGTGGCGTGGGGCACCCAAATCTTCACTGCCAGCCAGCTGTCTGCACATTCGTTTCAGTGGGGCTCGCGGCTCAAGGGGGTTTAGGGTGTAGGGTTTAGCGTTTAGGGTTTAGGGTTTAGGGTTTAGGGTTTAGGTGCTATGCTTTCTCGGAGGTTGCGTGGCAGGGAGGGGGCTCAGGGGAAGGGCTTCTGGGGTGTAAATGGATCGCAAGCTTTGAAATGCGAACCACATCGCAAGGAGCGAAACCCTGAACCCTAAACCCTGAACCCTAGATTTCGAACACCAAGGACCAAAGCCTCAAACGAGCTGAAACCTGTCAAACCCTCACGCTCTAAAACCCTGAAGCCCTCAAAACCCTGAAGCCTTCAACATCCTTAAGCCCTGAACCCTAAACACCGGTAATCCCCTAAAACGCTTAACGTTCTTGTGCCCGAAGCCCGAAAATCCTGAAAAAAGGCGCTAGGCCCCCGCAAAGCCCTTAAGAACCTTAAGCTGTTAACATTCAAAACCTCAATGCCCGAAATGACCGTAAACCCTCCTAAACCCTAAACACAACAGCAAAGTTCTTGAGTGCCTCAAGCCCTGCTGCGTTTCAAGCGCCGGGGATGGGCTACTGGTAACCTTATACCCTGAACCCTAAACCGTAATTTAAAGAACTCTCACGTTTTAGGGGATCTTGTTGCCTTTTGGGCTTGGCAGAGACATTCGGGATCCAGGCGTGTAGGCCCCAGGTTCAGGGATTCCAACACCCAAGGCCCTATAAAGGGTTCAGGGTTTATGATTTCGGGTTTAGGGTTTAGGGATTGGGGTTCAAGCCTAACCCCAAAGACAGCCCCCAACGAGAAAAGGAGAATCCCCAAACCCTAAACTAACTGTAATGCCTCCAGCGTCTGGGAACCTGGTGTACAGAGATAGGGTTTAGGGTTTAAGGTTTAGGGTTTAGGGTTTAGGGTTTAGGTTTTCAGGGTTTAGGAGTTATCATTTAGGGTTTTGCGAACAGCTTCATCTCAGGATCATCCTGCAGTACATGACCGACACAGACAATCCAAACCTCCGAGACGGAACTGACCAGGATCCCCCAAACCCTAAACCCTAAACCCTGAACCCTAGATTCTAGACCCTAAACCCTAAACCCTAAAACCTAAACCCTAAACCCTAAACCCTAAACCCTAAGCCCTAAGCTTGCGGCTTCCTCCGGGTTTCAGGGCTGCCAAGAGCCCCAAAGCAGAGCAGCTGCCAAACAAAGCCTCTGTTTGTTTCTCTTGGCGGAGCTTGCAGATTAATTGCGAGTTGGGCGTAGGATTTAGGGTGTAGGGTTTAGGGTTTGGGGTTTAGGGCTAGCCTAAAGCCCCCAATCAACCCTGAGCCGCCACATGTCTGCACCCAGCTGGATGTTGACAAAGATTTTGGCGTCCTGTACCATCGTGACCTTGACTAGGGCCCACGATCATCCCCCCCTGCCCCAACAACTTTGGTGGAAGCGAGTCGGTAGAGGTTGGCGCGTTTTGCCCAGGGGATTAAAGCTCTTACCCTAAAGTTGTACCCCTAAAGGGCTCCCTTAATATAAAGCTTTGGTGGAAGCGAGTCGTTAGAGGCGTTTTGCCAAAACATTATAAAGGGACTAAACCTCGCTCCCCTAAGGTTGTTCCCCAAAGACGTCCCCTTAATGTACTCCGAATATGGTCCTTACGGTCCCATAGGGGATCCTCAATAGGTCCCCAACACCTAAGGGTACAACCTAAGGGCAAGGAACAACATTAAGACTCTGAGCCTTTTGTAAGGTACCAGTTGGTCATTCTAGGCAAGCCATACAACACCAGGACAGTGCGGGTGGAGATGACAATGACCCCACCGAGGAGGCTAGGAGTTTGGGGTTGAGGGTGTGGGGTTGAAGATTTGGGGTCTATAGGGTTTAGGGTTTAGCGTTCTTCGTTGTAGAAGCCACAATCTCATGCTGCCGATCAGAGCAAATCAACCCGCGACATACAGCGCTCTCTGAAGTACTACAAGATATGCTCACCACTGCCCACCACTACTAGCAGTAGCAGTAGCAGTAGCAGTAGCAGTAGCAGTAGCAGTAACAATAGTAGCAGTAGTAGTAGAAGTAGTAGTAGTAGTAGTAGTAGTAGTAGTAGTAGTAGCAGCAGCAGTAGTAGTAGTAGTAGTAGTAGTAGCAGTAGTAGTAGCAGTAGTCGTAGTAGTAGTGGTAGTGGTAGTGGTAGTCGTAGTTGTAGTCGTCGTCGTCGTCCTCGTCCTCGTCCTCGTCCTCGTCCTCGTCCTCCTCGTCCTCCTCGTCCTCCTCGTCCTCCTCGTCCTCCTCGTCCTCGTCGTCGTTGTCGTCGTCGTGGTCGTCGTCGTGGTCGTGGTCGCGGCGGCCGCAGCCGCCGCCGCCATCGCCGCCGCCGCCATCGTCGTCGTCGTCGTTGTAGTAGTGGTGGTCGTAGTTGTTAGCTAGTAGTTGGTAGTTAGCTAGTAGTTGGTGGTTAGATAGTAGTTGGTAGGTATAGTAGTTAGTAGTCGTAGGAAGTAGTAAGTAGTCAACAGTTCGTAGAAAGTAGTAAGTAGTAAGCAGTAAGGTGTAAGTAGCAAGTAGCAAGTAGTAAGTAGTAAGTAGCAGATTAGTAGTTAGCAGTTAGTAGTTAGTAGTTAGTCGTTTGTAGTTAGTTGCTAGTGGTTAGCGGTTACTGGTTAGTGGCTAGTGGTTAGTGGCAGTGGCTAGTGGTTAGTCGTTGGTAGTTAGTAGTTCGTAGTTAGCGATTAGTAGTTCGTCGGTACTAGTTACTGGTTACTAGTTACTAGTAGCTACTTAGTAGCTAGTAGTTCGTAGTTCGTAGTTAGTAGTTGGCAGGCAGACGTTTTTTAGGTAGTAGTTAGCAGTTAGTAGATTGCACTTTGTAGTTAGCAGTTGGTAGTTAGTAGCTAGTATTTCGTAGTTAGTAGTTAGTGGTTAGTAGTCCCTTCCCCCTAATACTAAATCCCCCCCTAATTCTGATATTCGCCTGGGCGCGAAAAATGTTTAAAATTAGTTGGGGGGGGGGTCTAAATCCTAAAACCTGAATTCCGAAACCTAATAATTAAACCCTCCAAGCCCTGAGCCCTGGATCCTAATCCTGTCAGCCTTCAGCCCTAAACCCTGAAACCCTAATGGCTCAACTCAAGGGCGAAGGCCCTGAACCCCTCCCCCCCTAATTCTCAAACAGGTTTAGTATTGGGCTGGGTGCCGGCAGGATCCGGGAAAAACAATATTTAAAATTAGGGGGGGTTGTATTATTAGGGGGAAGCGATTAGTCAGCAGTCAGTCGTCAGTAGTCAGTAGGTAGTAGTGGGTAGTGAGTAGTCAGTGGGGTAGTTAGTAGTGAGTAGGTAGTAAGTAGTAAGTAGTACGTAGAAAGTAGTAAGTCGTCAGTAGTAAGTAGTAAGTAGTTAGTAAGTGGTAAGGGAAAGGTAGTAAGTGGTGTTGGGAGCAAGCAGCAAGCAGCAAGTAGCAAGTATTAAGCAGTAAGCAGTAAGCAGTAAGTAGTAAGAAGAAAGTAGGGAGTAGATGTAGGAAGTAGTACTGGTAGTGGTAGGTGGTACTGTTGGTGTCCGCACCAATGTAGTAGTCGCAAGCCTTAACCCCTAAACTCATGAAGGGTTCAGGGTATAGAGTTTTGGCTTTAGAGCCCCTGAAGTGAAAGATGCGTTCAACGCTCCGTTTATCAGAACGGGGCACTGCAGCGCATTCACAAAATAGTCAGGGTTCAGAGGTTAAGGTTTAAGGGTTTGGGCTTGGGTGTCTGTGTGTGGGACCTGTTCTGAGTTATCTTGGGTCTGGAGGAGGTGACATTTACTTCGCCCTCGTCAAACCACGGGCCATTGTCGCTTAGAGAAGCCAGCCAGTAAGATGGGGTTCTTGACCCCAAGAATCCCCAAAAAGGACAGACACATAAACCCACGCCGCAACAGCAAGAATAACCTAAAGCGAATTGAGCACAGTGACTTCAGAGGCTTCACTTTGGTCCTCACTTTGTTCCTATGGGTAAATGGCTTTCCTCGTGAAGATCCCAGTTCTCTCAGGGCTTTCTGAGTTGAAGCTTTGAGGCTTAGGGTTTCGGGTCAGCGCATGTGTTGATCTAAACCTTAAAACCCCACGCCCAGTGTTCGTGGTCATTCCTGGTTTGACAGCCTATAGCATAGCGACTAGGCAGATTTCCTTACCCAAAACCCTATATAAACCCTAAACCCTAACCCGTAGGTCACCCTAGGCATACAAGGCAGACCCGTTTTGAAGTCACGACGATCTGTTTCTGCCTCTCCCCCCTGCACAGGCAAAGTTGCAGCCCACAAGGGTGCGGAAAAACGGTTTAGGGTTTCGGGTTTGGGGTTTAGGGTGAAGCAACTGCATCTTACAAATCTGATGACACATGGCACGCTGAAGCTTCCGAAGACTGAGAGAGTACCTACCTAGCCAAAAACTTAGGTTCCTTATATAACTCTACATCTAGTCTCTTCTAACTCCCCTCCGTGCAGACGCCTGCACGAACGCCGTCTCTTGGTTACTAGTGCAAGGGTGGGGTTCTGCTAAGCTTCTGCCAGACCCTACTTCTATCGCATGATTCAAGATGCTTGGTGTGGTTTTCCTCTTGTCGTGTCCTGTCTGGCTGCATTCACACAGCCAGGGTTGGTTTGAATTGCCTCCGTCACACCTCATGGTCTAAACCCTAATGTGCACATATGCATGTTGCTTTTTATGTCCAGCGAAAGAAAGGTAATCTGTACACTGTACGAAGCAAGGGGTACGTTGTTGCCGCACTCCTTATTCACTCGTCAGGGTCTAAGACTAAAATCGTACTGGCGTTTTCCAACTGTTGCTGTGCCAGTGCATCCTTAGCTTAGTCCTTTTGTCACACGCAGGGGTACTCAAATCTGGTTGAGCCTGAAGTCATTGGATGTAAATGCGCACATTGCCGACGATTGTTTTCCACGCAGTAGTTCATGAGCCAGCAGACATGCATGTGTCTGCAGCCATGCCTGATGATCGCACGGAGACAAAGTGGTTTTCGCAGCCGCACCTGATTAGAGCATTGCCGCATCTTGGGTTCTCGCTGCGCAACGTTTTAGCAAGAATCTTGCTCCACTTTCCAACATGTAACCACAGCCATCCGTCCGGAAATTGCTCAAACCCACGAATGTATCTCGCATGACATGCTGGACTGTTGCCTTGTGAACTGTTGCTTGCTGGCAGGAAACAGCCGAAATCGCTCGAGGACAGGGGGACGCATGGACTGCGATGATGTGCAGATGCCAGCATGTGTCTGGTTGCGTCAAGCGTGGGCTTAGCAGTTTAAGTGTGGCACAGAAGGGATGGCTGAAACTTTGTGTCCAACGGCAGGATACCACGAGCCATTGGATTATTATCAGGCCCGTTTGTTCTGCAATGTTCGAAACGGGCGTGGGGGGGCTTATAAACTCAAACCAATGGTTCTCGTCTTTGGCACTCTGACGAGCGGAGGCCTGCATTGAACGCGAGCGGAACAAGGGTCTTTACACTGCAGATCAGCAGATCGAAGCAAATGGTCTGAGCCCAAGAGCCGCTTCATTTCCTGGGTGTGGAGTTGGAGGACCTTGCCCGATGGCTATTTTTTGATAAACGCTAGGCCGCCAGGCTGCTGTTTGTGGACCTAATTGTGATTTTTTGCTGACTGCATGTCGTGCTCGATCGTTAGAAGGCATCTGCGTCAACACCGTAAGGCTTCTTTTGTTTTTTGGATTTCGGTGTCTTGTTTCGTTGATAATTCTACAAGGCTGATGAGGTCATAACATGGGTAACCATCTAGACTCCGGAATCATGCGTTAAACTCCAGAAAAACCACCTTGCAAGAGGCATGGCTCGCAAGACTTGCTCGCTCAGTAGAGGACATCTGCGTCAACCTTGAATGAGCAGTTACCAAGCTAGCTAGGGTCATTTCATGAGAGCCCGTAAGCATGACAAGGGGACAGCATGGGTCATCGTTTAGGAATGGCAGGCAAGCCACAGAGATTTCCATAGCAGGGTCCCTAGTACGTTGTGCGCCAACATCAGTCGGCGACACAAAGAATATACCAGGATTTGCTGCAGTGCCCCAAGGCAAACGTGCGCCAATCTACATGTGTTGTTGCCTTCAGGTGGGGCTACATCCACGCGTCAGACGCTTGCTTCATTCCATGAATGTGAAAAGATTTCTTTTCAAGGCGCGCAGTACAATTCAAGACACCAATGAGGGCCAGGGCACAGCTCCCGACCCTAAACCCTAATCCCTCATCCCTATAATTCGAGGAACTATGGCTTGATTCAGCAGGTTCGGGTTCAGCAGGCGAAGATGTCGTCAAATTCATTAGCGAGGTCAGGGACCCTTCAAATGACAAAGTTTACCGCTCCAAACCCTAAACTCTAAACGCGGAGCCCAGAGACAAGGAACCCGAATGGCAACGGTCGCCGTCGCGGAAACACGCGGCATGGCCTGGAGTGCCCGGAGGAGCTGGCACAGGGCTTTGGGCGTAGGGTTCAGGGTCTAAGCCGTCAATTCTTGTGCACAAGCATGATGCCGAGCTACTTGAACATTGAACAGCTGGGATCGCAGGAAGTACTTCAAGCTTTAAATTGCAAGATGGTTTCATTCTGGGCATCACGATTTTTGTGGTTTGGTGTTAGAAACTCAAGTTGTAAGAGCAAATTCCAGGGGATTTGGTGATCCCAGAATTTTCCCAGAGCTAATGCAGTGGCTTTCTGCTGGTGCGGGCTGCTGTCCCGGAATTGTGTCACAAGTTCGAAATGCAGCGCCCCTCAAACCATCTCAAGCCAAATGGCTCTCAGTTCCTGATCTACCCCTATCGTCTGCGCAACTCGATCTTCTGAAGCATGAAGGATTCAGGGGCGAGAAAAGGGGCAAGAAAGATTCGGAGCGTGGGGCATCCGAAGAAGGCTTTCAGACATGCTGGCAGGAGCGGGACTACTATCCCTACTGGCACCCAACGCCTTGGCATGACATTGCCATCCTCACTGACGAGCCACAAATACGCTGCACCTGGTCGTGTGAGCTTTGCGGGTGGGCGTGAGCTGGGCATTTAGGTTTTGGGGGTTCTGTTTCGGGCTTCTTCCGGGAGAGGTCGGGGGGAGGGGAGAAACTCGGGGGACCAACTGGTAGGGAATCCCAGCAAAGCATGAAAAGGCCCTGATGTGGAGCACGCCCTCTTCTGGGGTCCATAGGGTGCATTGGGTTCAGGTTGTGCTTTCCAGCGTTTGGGTCTATCTCTGTCTTTGAGCTTCCCATCACCCTAAACCGAGCCTTGAACCCACAACCCCAAGCCGCGAAGGCGACTACTACCGTGCCGAGTCCCAGAACGTGAAGCCAAAGGGTCTGTGCTCCAACTCCTTGTACAACCAGGTGGACTGCCTGAGCCCTAAACCCTCAGCCCGGAAGCCCTGAGACCCTAAACCCATCTGAAAAAAACCCACCCCCGCAGCCCCACATGCTTCCCTTGCCAACCAAACTCTTCCCAACCGAAGGGTTGGCGTTTTGAATCTTGGGCTCCCTCTCAGTGGAGATTTCTGCATCCTATATGCGCTTCACTACTGTCCAGAGGCACATGTGTGCACTACTTCCAAGACCAAGCAGAACCTTGCCAGTCTAACAACCCTCTTCAATTTCAACTTATATAAACCCTACACCCTAAACCCTAAACCCTAAGCCCTTATCCTGACTTGCGCGCGGTGTGAGCAGGCGGATTCGTGCACCGGCAATGGCGGAGACGCTTCCACCCGCAAGTCCTTTAAAGCCTTGAGGGGTTCAGGGTCTAGGGGGTGTAGGGTTTAGGGTATTAGGGTATTAGGGTGTAGCGTGTAGGGTTTAGGGTTTAGGGTTCAGGGTTTAGGGTTTAGAGGGTTTGGGGTTTAGGGTTACGGGAGCCATGGGGTTGAAGGTTTTGGGATTCAGGCTTTGGTTTTTGGGCCGACGTCGCTGCGCTGCCGACTTTCCAAATCCCGAGATCCCTAAAGCTCCCTCAAAGTGGCCAGGCCTGTAGCATCCAAGCAAGAATGCTCAGATCCATCCTTGACCAGACTCAACTCTCCGTACTGGCTGAAGGTGTGTCTTCTGAGTAGTCCTTACTATGGAGAACCTCGAAACTCTGTTCTTGTCTGGAGCCGTTGCGCGCCAGGCCATAGCGGGTGATTGGAGCTCTTGATCATAGTTGCCTTACAAACTGTTCTTGTTTGTATCACTTACACTATTCTCGCAGGCTCCTCAAACCGTGAGGAGAGGTTCCCTTTACGACTCTGCGTAACGGATCCGTCTGGGGGGTTCCATTGGTTCCATCCTGCGGCGCGGGTTTTTCCTCGCCCTGGGGGGGTGCGCCTCCACTCGCGCGAAGGCTTGGAAGCGAGTTTTTAGAGGAACCCAGGGGTCCTGATGCCCATGATGCCGGGTCGATGGGTGCGCAATGGGGGGGGGGGGGGCTTTTCAAGGCTTGCAAAGAGGGGTCAAGAGGCACTCTCCCTGGCATGCTGTAGGTACCAATTGAAAACCCTTTTCTGCGTCGCGCCAATCATTTTGCCAAGCTTGCGCCAAGCTTACGCCCTACTGTGCGCAACATGCCTGTGCTGTCTTGAAGAATCTACGGCAGATCGTCCCTAAACCCTAAACTCTAAACCCTAAACCCTAAACCCTGAAGTAAATTTTGCTGCACGCTTAGGACGTGCAACAGTGCAGCTGAACAGGGCATTCCAGCGCGCTGGGACCGGAAAGCCGTCTACCCGTAGGGCTTAGGATTGTGAATTATGTTTACTTTTCTTTATATAATAAATCAAGAGGATATTGAATTTTGTTTTATTAAGTTTCTAAGGAGAGTGTTGGTTTAGGGGTATTTAGGCCCCAGGGCTGATAATAGGACTTAGGGGCCCACACCCTCAGCCTCTGCCCAAGGAATGGACCGAAGTGCCAGCCTTTGACGAACCGCCGCCCGAGTGCGTGGGAAGTGCCTCGCATCACCAGCTTAGCCGGGAACGTGGGTGCCCGAGACAACCCTAGAGTTCTATGCGCCTAAATATGGGGTGTTTCCTACAGAGTGGCTTTGGAGGCCAAGTATATGCTATTTTGGAACATGGACCCGCAGGCCCAGGCCTCCAACAGTGAGATTTCATTCGTGTAGCAGATTATCGGCGCAAGATACATACACTGGATGTTTGTGTAGATGACTAGTAGTCCGTCCGGCTGCGTGGTTTGACCCCTGTTCAGCTCACACTTCGGTGAGACTCAGCGTCCTCTGTGGCGGCCAGGTATCTCCAGCCGGGACAACCACAATGGCAACGTCCGCAATGGACATGCGCACTACTACGCCGCTTTGGCCTGATTGGAACGGGGCCACATTTCCCTAAATGGGCGTAGAATGCGACTAAAATCCCGAAACTTGAAACCCCCAAACCCTCAACCCCCTTTGTCTCAAAACAGCCCAACACCCTTGCGTAAGAAGGCCTTTGGGCCCCCTCCCTCCCCTCCCTCCCCTCCCTCCCCTCCCTCCCCTCCCTCCCCTCTCTCCCCTCCCTCCCACCTTCCTCTCCTCTCCCCGAAAACGAAAAAAGAAGTCCCTGGAGCCTCAAGGCTATAGTTCCCGAAGCCCTAACGAACCTAAACTAACAAGTTGCTTCAGCCGAGGTGTGGAAGATCCCAGAGTACCTTAAGGGTCGAGTCGCCTGTCGCAGTTCAGAGGATTAGGGTCTTGGGTCTTAGGGTCTTCGGTTTCAGGGTTCAGGGTGTTAGGGCTTGAAGGATGAGAGTTCAGGCTTTTTGGGGTAGGGTTTAGGGCTTCGGAGGACCCCAGAGTGAATCAGCTGGCCAGTTCTCTGAAGTATGATTCCGCTCCGGGTGCTCTAAGAAAAAGGGGGCAGCGTTACCAAAGACACGCGAAAGACCGCCTGCCCTTACGAAATGAGGGCATGCCTTACTGGAGCTTTGACCGGTTTAGCTCTTTCAAGATACAGGCCATTCTCTCATCAGTTCCCCCTTAAATAGCCTTAATTAGGCTCAAATATCCCTTAAAAGCCTTAAGTATTGGGGGGAACCTGGGGGGGGGGGGGGCCCTTGGACACTTAACGTCTATTCTGCGCGTGCTCTTTGTTTTCGCAAACCTCTCTGGGATTGGGTTCTCGTTTGGCGCTTCAACGCGGAAGGCGTTCTATCGGATCGCTTTCTGGCGAAAGAGGCCACGAAGAGGAGACGGTCAACGGAGGACGGTGGGATGACGGAATGAATTTTGACGGGAGGCCACGGAGACGACACGGTCAAGGGGGGGGTCGGAACATTTTGCTGGGAGAGGGGCGTGGCGGACCATGCATGGATCACGGGTTCGGGAGCAAGGATGGGGGGGAGCGCGGACAGGGAGCATTCGGTCGATGGGCAGGAGAGTCACACAAGAACGCCCTCCGTGCACGCCCTCCGCGCCCTCCGCGCCCTCGGCGCCCTCCGCGCCCTCCGCGCCCTCCGCACCCTCCGCGCCCTCCGCGCCCTCCGCGCCCTCCGCGCCCTCCGCGCCCTCCGCGCCCTCCGCCCCTCCGCGCCTCCGCGCCCTCCGCCCTTCTGCCGCCCGCGCCCTCCCCGCCCGCGACCCTCCGCGCCCTCTCCGCCCTCTCCGCCCTCCGCGCCCTCCGCACCCTCCGCGCCCTCCGCACCCTCCGCGCCCTCCGCGCCCTCCGCGCCCTCCGCGCCCTCCGCGCCCTCCGCGCCCTCCGCGCCCTCCGCGCCCTCCCCGCCCTCCGCGCCCTCCGCGCCCTCCGCGCCCCCGATCAGGACACTGGGTGCTCATGCTGAGGGTGCATTGCGTCTATTCTTCGGGTGCGTTGCGTCTATTCTGCGGGTGTTTCCTTTGTAAAGTATTTGTTTACAAGGCACGCACGTGCAGCATAGCCTTTAAGTGTCCATCTTACGGGGGGGGGGGGGCGTAGCATAGAGGGGCGTAGTAGGGAAACCCATGATTCTCAGGGCTTCTCCGGGATCCTATTACAGGCGCCTTACCATGTCCAGCCCCCACGGCCCCTCTAAACTTGAGTGAGCATGAAGGTTTGGGGTTTGGGGTTTAGGGTTTAGGGTTTGGGGTTTAGGGTTTAGGGTTTGGGGTCGGAAAGTCGAAGAAGGGAAGAAGGAGGCGCCAGCCCTACGCCCGAGTCTCCGAAGCTATCAGAGCAAGCCGGCAGGCTGTATGTCGAGAAGAAGCCTGACTCAAACCCTACAAACCCTATAATAAAACCCTACAAAGAATATTGCAAGAAGCCCTAAGAACCAAAAAAGCCCAAAGCAATAAAGTGATGAGGGAATGCTGGAGTCGGCCAGCCCCCCCCCCCCTCCCCCCCTCCCCCCCTCCGAGAAAAACGGGGGAGGGGGAGGGCCCTGGACAACACCCGCACCTTGTGTCAATGGATCCACCAGGGCCTCTAGCCCGCCAGGCTTGCTTTCGGGCTGCTGTCGGGTTTAGCCCTAAACCCTAAACTCTAAACCCTAAACCATAAGCCCTAAACCCTAAGCCCTAAACCTAGAAAGGATGTGGCACCGGGTTCCCGACCTGTGGAGTGACTTCCCATAGTATCACAGGCGTCGTGTGGATCCGTCTGCACTTTGGGTAATATGGGTTTGGGGTTTAGGGTTTATAGGGCTTAGGGTTTAGGATTCAGGGTTTAGGGTTTAGGATTCAGGATTCAGGGTTTAGGGTTTAGGGCACGCCGGAGCCCTATAGTCTTGAACCCTTTCAACCCACAACCCAATCTCGTTGAGGTTGTGCTGCGCATCCGCCGGGAGCTTAGGCTCCAGCCGGGCTGGGGCATGTCGCGCTTGTGAACGTAGCGCCCCCTCTTCCCCCCCCCCCCCCCCTACTGAGAACCAGTCAGTGGACACAGCTATCTTCCTTCGCATAGTTTTGGTGGTTCAGGGCTTAGGGGCTGAGTCCACGACTTGCAAGACGAAACTGGGCACTTTTGAGAGAGAGAGAGAGAGAGAGAGAGATAGAGAAAGAGAGAGAAAGAGAGTTAACGCCATGCACGTCGGAAAACTGATGGCCACTTTTCCAAAAAAAATGGTCCCTGTTCAGTTGCTATCAGAAGGCGGTCCCTGAATTATAGGGTACCCCCAAAAAGGGACCATACGAACAGAGAAGAACAATTTGGCATGTTGCCGCACGACGGGGGTTCCCGCCGACGCGACTGAAGTCGCACTATTGCCTTGGTCCTTGTGCAATGCTGAGGGCTTACCCTTGCTCCATGTCGCGAAAACGCGGCAGTTACGCACTTCCTGCATTTCTTGGTAGCCCAGTGGTACCCTTTACCCTTTTTTTTGGGTTCTGGTTTCCCTTTTCAAATCACCACAAGCCAAAAAAGGGTGCCCTTATTATAAGATGGTTACTGGGCTACCAAGATTTTGGGTTGTTGGACAGCTTCACTAGTCGCGTTTCGCTTTCGACGTACCCAGACTTACGTCCGCTTTACCCCCAAATACCTGTTCTATCAAAGAAGCCCATGAACCCTAAACCCCTAAACCCCTAAACCCCTAAACCCTAAACCCTCAGAAGTGCAACCCCTAACCCCCTAAACCCTATAGAACCTTAAACCCAGCTTAGTGAAAGAGCCCAAGGCTACAACATCAGCACGGGAGACTTCGGCCTGGGTTCTTTGGCCAATCCCAAGGAAGAGGGCGCGGAACTGACAGGCCCCTATGGCCATGAACATCCAAGGGCTTAGGGTTTAGGGTTTAGGGTTTAGGGTTTAGGGTTTAGGGTTTAGGGCTAGGGTTTAGTGTTCACACCCTACAATTACGAGTTGGGGGTCGGGGTTTACGGGTGGGGTCTCAGGGTTTAGGCTTGCCTGAGCCAGCTTCGGCCGGCAGTCGCCGCTGCGATGTGATGTTCAGAATTGCGAACCCTGGCAACCTGGTACCCTCACCCGAAACCCTACAACCCTAAACCATCCTAAACCCAGGTTTAGACCTCAGAAATGGCAGGCATCAAGGCTGATGAGTTCTTCATGGACAGCAAGTTCAACGACCCGAATCCGGGTGACCGTCGCCGAAGGCATCCGTCAAGGTTGTTGCCGACCCAAAAGTCCCAAAAGCCTGCACCCTTAGAGCTCGTAAGGGTGTACGTAGGCTTCAGAACAAATATCATGGTCAAATGTTGAACAAACGCCACTTATCCTGGGTTGAATTCGTGTGCCAGGATAAGTGGCGTTGGGGCGCTAAACGGACAGCTGAACAGTGCACATGGTTTGCTGTGATGCTTGAATATGTATTAGTGTATGGGTTCCAAAGAGGCCTCTCAATCCGGTCTATGTCGCTAGGCGTACTTGTTCGCCGGTTTCGGGATGCCTTCCTTCACGTATTGAAGCATCACGGCGTTGACTGTCCAACTCTTCAGGCGATACGCCATCTGAGGTCCTTCGGATTTGGTAACCAAAGTGGTATAGCTGCTAGTAGAGAGTTTGTTCATGGTGATGAGATCTTAGCAGTGTGTTTGAGAATAGCGCAACATGTCCCTCAACTTGATCTTCAAAAAAGAGGCAAGCCTTTTGGTAAACTCTCTCTCTCTCTCTCTCTCTCTTACTCACGGATGACACGGATGCCCTTGCATGGCGTCGTCAATGTGTTTCTCTCTTTCTCACCGAGATCATTGATATCGTTCGGAGGCTCGCGATGCTTACAACGAAGGTGGGTAAAAAAAGTTGAACACATTGTTTTTTGCGGTCCGCGTGGAACTGACAGATGCGTAACGGCGTAACAAAACAACAAACGCACACAGCAGGTGCCCTGCAGGCGTACAGCAAGCAGGCACGCAGGAGCACGCGGGCCCGCGTGCAGGCCAACACACGCACACAGAGACACGAGTGACCGAAAAGAACGTCTCTGTCTCGATTGCGAAGTTCACTGCAGGGGTCAAAACGTCAAAACGGCATCCTCGTGGCATCCTCCGTGGTCGCAGGTTGTTCGGCACGTCAACGGAGTTAGGGTTGATAGTTTTGTGCCCTCAATTTAGAAGCAAACTTCGTACTACCACACATGAACCCTGTGAGTTGCACATGCCGGAAGGGTCCCTTGAAACCTTGCGTGGAAAGCCCGCGCTTCGGACGTTCAAGGGCTCGCGGCCCTGTCCTGCAAACCCTGAACCTGAACCCGAAAGAAGCCCCCTGACTCATATCGGGGGGCCTGTCTTTTAATAGAAAGAGCTCATATTTTTCATCGGCGGCTCGACGTGGCGAGTATTTGATTGATGTGGGGGTTCCATGTTGGCCCTTTTAAGAGGACCCTATTGAAGACATTGCGCATGCTCCTGCATTAGATCCCCCTGCCCTAAACCCTAAACCCTAAACCCTAAACCCTAAACCCTAAACCCTCAACCCTCAACCCTCAACCCTCAACCCTCAACCCTCAACCCTCAACCCTCAACCCTCAACCCTCAACCCTCAAACCTCAACCCTCAACCCTCAACCCTCAACCCTCAACCCTCAACCCTCAACCCTCAACCCTCAACCCTCAACCCTCAACCCTCAACCCTCAACCCTCAACCGCAGCGCAGGACCTTCTCCGGCCGACCAGCAGTGCCTGTACCCTTGGCGCAGGAACCTTGCTGCCCTTTAGACTCCTCTGTTTAGGGTTTAGGGTTTAGGGTTTAGGGTTTCCCTAAGGGTCCTTGTACCTATAAGTATATACTTGGGCCTGAAAGGGGGTTCCCTAATATAGTAGCCTTAGGACACAAGTGTATTCTATGTGGGTGGGTTGTCAAAAATATGATCCTTTTCGGGGTACCCTGAATATTCGGTGCCGCAATTCTTATACTGGGGATCCAACAAGGGACCATAATTTTGACAACCACCCAGATATAGGTACATGGACCCTAAGGGGTATGGCTCGTTCAGAGTGCAAGCCTGTGGAGTTGCTGGTAATTGAGAATTTGGGACTGTCCAGGAAGAAGACACCCCGTAGTCAGTATCTGTGTATATAGGGGCCCTTAGGGTTTAGGGTTTAGGGTTTCGGGTTTAGGGTTTAGGGTTTAGGGCTAGAAGTGTGATAGGTAACTGGCTACAAGCCCCTTAAGCTGCGTTGTGGGCGGGCAGCCTCCCCGCCGTTGGACTGCAGGGGGTTCAGGATGTTAACATAGGGGGTTCGGTGGGATTTGTGCGCAAGGGCAGCATGGCCGCTAAACACCAATTCTAACCACTGGACCTTGCCGCTCCTTGCCCGCAGAGCAGGCTCAGCCTGTACCCCTAGAAAGGGACCAGCCCCTACTTGGAGGTTCATGTTACTTATTAACCAAGTATAGCTGTACTTCTAGCCCACTTATAAGCCCCTTGAGTGCCCTAATATGGTTATAAATACAGTTATAAGTTATAATTGGTTGCCAAGTACCATGAACCTCCAAGCACAAGGCCGCGCAGCAGTGTAATCCATCTGTGGGTCCTTTTTCTGGGAGCTCCCGATGGCCTAAGAGCCCGAAAGGCCCACAAGCCCTCAGCCCCCGTACCCCTGAGACAGGGGTGGTTGTTCAAAAGTATGATCCCTTTTGGGATGCCCTAAATATCAGGTGCCGTACTATAATAGGGATCCAAAACGGGACCATCACTTTGACAACCACCCATCCCACATTCAGTTCCTGGGGCCTTTCTGGCCATTCAAAAGAAGCATATGAGGTCTCTTTGGGGCTTAGGGTTGTATAGGGCTTACCTTTGAGAACTTCGTGGCCCGCATGGGATGTCAGGCCAAATGCTAGATGCTAAGCCCTAACCCTAAACCCTAAACCTTGAACCCTAAACCCTGAACCCCAAACCCTGAACCCTGAACCCTGAACCCGAAACCCCAAACCCTGAACCCTAAACCATCCTAAACCCTAAGCTGCAGTGCGAGCTTGTAGTTCGGGACCCAGGCTGCTTGCACCTCGTTGGCTCTGAACCCCCCAAGCCCTGAAAGCCCCTGAAGCCCTAAACCTCTGAGGTCCTAAAAACCCTACTAAACTCCTAACCCTAACCCTAAACCCGACTAACCTCCTAACCCTAAACCCTATTAAACTTCTAACCCTAAACCCCCGCAAAACCCCTAAAGCCCTCTAAACATCTTAAGATATCAGGCCCCTGACTCGACACCCAAGGTGCCCAACCCAGACTACTTCAGTGGTTCTCGCTATGAATCACGCTCTGCTCCCTCTTTGCGGGGTATTTTATTTGGGCCCTTCAGGAGTTGCTTTCTATTCTTATTGATAAAAAGCCCAAGGGAATGTTAAAGGGTTGTTGTTATTAAGGTTCTAAGGGGATTATAGGTATTGGGGCCCTCTGTGTAGGATCCTGTCGCGGACTGGCTCGGCCTCGGCGAGACAGGCGCAGATCTCAGCCGCCTCTTGGAGAGAAAGGATAGTGATGTGCCCGAAGCTACCCACCCTAAACCCTAAGCCCTAAACCCGAAACCCTAACCCCTAACCCCTAAACCCTAAATCTTGGAATTCCAGGGTCTTCCAAACTATTTCGTGTTCTCTGGGGGCAAGCTGCAAGTCCGAAACCCTAGGGCTTTCAGGGTTTTTAGGGTTGTGGGGGTTCGGGACATGAGTCCCACCAACGTCCAAAGGGGTTTGGGTTGGAGGCTTTAGGCCTTTAGGGTTTGGGGCTGTAGGGTTTAGGGCTTTAGAGTTTATGGCTTTAGGGATTGGGGCTTTAGGGTTTGGGGTTTTAGGGTTTAGGTTCTAGGGTTTAGGGCTTGAGGGTTTTGGCATGCTCCCTCTCTGCGCCTCCTCCATTTCCCCCCCTCCCCCCTCCCACATCTGCGTATTTGCATATGTATACATTCATAAGTGTATTTGAACCCTGAACCCAAAACAGAACCCTAAACACCCTAAACGAAACGACGCCCCACGGACACGGAAGAGAGGCTTGCTCCAGATCCAAGTCAACACCAACCAGTTTGGCCGGACCTTTGAGGACCGGACACACTCCTTCATGGTCATGGAGAGGCCGGATTAGGGCTTCACGGGTTTAGGGTTGTTGGTATTTTGGCCTTATACTGCAGGTCTTACGTAGGCTTTGGTGAGGGCAGGCCGGGCAGGTTTGGAAGACCGCAAGACGGCTCAAAGCCTGCACTCACCCGATTCCATCGACCCTGCCCCTGAAACCTTTTGCAACTGTTTTAGGTTCCAGCTTCCCTTAAAGGGGAGCCTCAACCCTACACCCTAAACCCCCCATGTGGGTACCCTTATTGTAATATGTTTGCTGGGCTACCAATTACCCAGAGGGTTAGAAACATGAAAACTAACAAATACTAAGCGCAAGGGTTTCTCTTCCCAAGGTTAGCAAGGCTCAGGTGGAGAGCGGTCACTGCGCTGACAGGGGGCTGATCGGGTTTAGGGTTTAGGGTTGAGGGTTTAGGGTTTAGGGTTTAGGGTAAAGTTGAGGGTTTGGGGGTTTAGGGTTCTCAGAGGGGTTCAAGGTGTTGGGGCGAGTAAGGACAAGACTGACAGGTGGGATGATTCTAGGGTTTTTGAGCAGCAACCAATGCTTGTACGATTCGGGCTCCAGGTTTCAGGGCCATGCGGTTGATCTGGGGTTTTGATTTATCTACAAATGTTTTCGCGCATGCACTTCACTCCTTTGTACTCCAGTCAAGCAGCTTTAACCCGTGAAACGTAGTATGTGTGCAAGAGACTGACATTGAGCTAAGAATCGTACGGGGTTGAATCGGAGATCCAAGTGAAGCGCTCACGACTGTCGGGTGTCAAGGGTCGTCACATGTCCGTCATTAAGGAGAAGAAAAGCACGACTAGGACCCAGAGGCTCTTTTTCCTATTTGGAGGGGCCAGGCTTCCCGGGTAAACAAACCAAGGTGCCCATTGTATGCTTAGGTTGCTCTTGGACCTAGACAGAAAAAACTGAGACAATTTGGTATTTGCGGCAGCTCCTCATAAACAAACAAGTACTTGGATTGCCAACAAGAATGCGAAACACAAGATACAGGCTTTTGAATGAGGAGGTATACGAAGAGATGCGAATAGAAGCCGAAAATACATCCAAGCTGTACTAATGGTACATTTATAAGAGATGTAAGTAGCCAGTGAAAGGTGCGTGTACCAGTTGGTAAGGATAGCCGGGTTACAGCTACACGTAGCTCCTGACGTGTGCTAGAGTAAAGGCCACCTTGCGGCCCCACCAGAGATGGAAGTGCACCGCATGAGTTTTATTCAAGCATGAAAGCTGTAATCAAGGAAGTTCAGGGACATGTTCGGGTAGTTATACATGGTTTTAAGCCCATGGAATTAGGGTTTAGGGTTTACGGGTTTGCGGGTTTCTGATGGCAGGCCGGCCGACGTCCCCATGTCGAAAAGGATCGTGAACTACAATGTGCGTGCCTGGACGCGGACAGAGATCTCAGCGACCCCGGGGCTCCAATACCCCTTGGCTAAGGAATATTCCTCAAATTATACTGGGGTTCCTTAAGTTCCTTATATGGCCTGAGGAATATTCCTTAATTAAAGGGTATTGAGGAGCTCTCAAGGATCTCGAGGATCACCCAAGACAGCCGGATGTCAGCCCTGAATCCTGTGCCCTCATCTTCTGAAGTAGCAAGGCCTTAGCCTCAAAACTGGAACCTTTGGGTGGCAGAATCGTCTTATATGACCAGTTACCCTAAACCCTAAACCCTAAACCCTAAACCCTAAACCCTAAACCCTCAACCCTAATTAAACCCTATAAACCCTAAACTCTAAACCCTAAACCCTAAACCGCAGAACTCTTCGGCTCATCCCAAGGCGGCCGACGTGGAAACATCGTCCAGGCGCGCGGAACAGTTTTCGGGCTCTATGTAAGTTGAGGCCCACCAAGTGCCAGGTTCCCTTCTTGAATCAAGTGCTGCGTGAGGGACGCACCTTAGGGTTTACGGTTTCGGGTTTAGGTAGGGTTACTGGTTCCTCAGAGAGAAGTCGGGCGTTAGGTACCGTATACACGCGTAAAGAACCCTTGACGGGCCCTTTTTTCTTCTCCTGCGGAGCCGAACTCCCAAACATCTCTACTAAGAGCAGCTCACCCTGGAGAAGCAGCGACGATCCTAAACCCTAAACCCTAAACCCTAAACCTTAAACCCTTATCAAGCCCTCACCCAGAAGGTACTCTCATGGCATTGGTCCGCGTAAAGAATCGCAACCCAGTGGGCCCTTTGCGCAAGCCGAGTTCAGGAACTTGAAACCAGGATGGGCCATTATGGCCTTTGCCCCCTACTGTTTCTGGTTGATTATGGGGATTACAGGGCCTAATGGCCCATCCGGGTCGTACAAGAACCCAACTCAAGCTGCGTCTAAGCCCTGAAGTTTAGGCCTGGGGTACATGTTTTTTTTTCACACCTGGTTGTGTTTTTCTTCGTACCACACCGAGGGAAGGTTAACATGCTATGTATTTTATGGCGCTAATCGGGAGTATGGATTATTGAAAAGGAACTATGCCATTTTGAAGTCTTTGTTAACTTGTCAAGTCTGTTTATCAGCGTAGATACGGGGAGGACGCCCCAGGTAGAAGTATAGCTGAGGCGCATAGCGCGCATGATCAGTTTAAAGATGCGAGCGTGATCGAAGAAGTTTGTCGAGAACGGCGGGTCCCTCGCTGTTAGGTTCAGGGTTTGATGGGGCAGGTTCATTCGGTATTGCTTGTGGTATGCCCCCCCCCCCCCCCGCCTGCAGAGTTTATGGCCCCCCCCATCTCCCCCCAACCCCCCTACCCCCTGCCAAACCCTAAACCCTAAACTGCCCTAAACCCTTTCGCTTGGTTTCTAGACGCCCAGCCGCAGGTCTACCCCTCAGTGGAGTACGACTTTATCCCGCCCGAGCTGGAGGTCGAGCCACTTGGCAGCCAAAGATCCATGCTTAGTTTTGAGAGGTAGGGTTTAAGTTTGGGGTTTAGGGTTGTTTAGGGTTTTGGGTTCAGGTAGTTGGGGTTTGGGGTTAAGATTCTGATGATCTCTCCGCCGCTCCGCTATAAGAGTAGATAGTCAGGGACCCAAAAAGGACAAGCATAAGCATTTCATAGGGATATCCCTACCTTATTGGGCTTCATTATAAGGGGGTTTATATGGGATATCCCGCCCTAGATGGACTACCCAGAAGACCCATGCTCGTTGGATAGCTCCGTACATTTGGTCTTGGCTGGGGTTCAGGGTTTGAAGCCTTCACCACTTGGACCCCACAGCCCAGCCTAAGCCCTACCTAAAGGCTCCTACGTAGAATGTTTTGGAGCAGTATACTAGAGTCCCTTCTTACTAACCCAAAGAGGAACTACATCAGCAGCCTGAACTGCGGATACGTTTAGGGCTTAGGGTTTCGGATTGAGGGTCTTGGTTTTAGGGTTTACCTTGAGAATCTTATGCGTAAATCGTATAAGATTCTCCAATTCCAACAAGTGTTGAATTCCCGCCTTTCTTTGGTGTACAGGGTTGCTGAGGGTGTAGAGTTTGGGCTGTGCAAGAAAGCCTCCACCTTTAGACTCGAAGCTAGCGGCATTTCCATAATGTGATTGCATAGAATATCATAGACTATCCGAGACTATCCTTGCAACTTAATTTGAAACCTTTTGCAACAGTTCAGGCAGGGAACGCTGCTGCACTTCCAGTGGACAGGGTCCGATGCCAACAACAATGGAAATGCAGGCCAGCAGGTGAGTTGCTTCAGGGTTCTAAGGGTAGCTACATGGTCCTTGCATATGGCCCCTTCCCTTCTTGAACGGCTTCTGAAGTATGGGGTTTTGGGTCTGAATGGGGTTTGTTAAGGGGTACATAAGGGTTCCCCAATTAAGGGCCCCTAAGAAGGAAGTGGGGGGGGGGGGTAGGGAGGGTTGTTGAATGTTTGTGCCTGGTAGGTCGAAGGATGCCAGGCGGCATAGGGGTCTCGAATCGTCGTTCTGCGCATGCTCGTATCTCTACTGCAGAAGCTCGAACCATTTGCTTCCTTTCGTTTTAGGTACACTTGCAGTACCTTTCATAGGTGGGCTTTTCCTGAGGGTCTCTGAGTTTGTGCAAATCCATTTAGATTGTTTGTGTAGCGACACCAGCTCACAACATACACCCCCGCTGTGCGTTGGAAGCAAGGGGACCGTGTTGTTTCGTTGGCTGACCACGTGGGCGGTCTGCCTTGCGCAGGGTCGCCAGTAACCTAGCTATACCAGCTGCTCAGCATCGCCACTACAGGAGTTTTCTCAGAAGAAGTCGAAGAACTATTTTTTTGCACATTACAGGGGTTTTCTCAGAAGAAGTCGAAGGACTAGTTTTTTTACACACTACAGGAGTTTTCTCAGAAGACGTCTAAGAACTAGTTTTCTTACACGTACATGTCATGTGGCACACTAAGTGTCCGCAAGCTCGTATGCTCCCCTACATCACCTGGGCATTTTCTGCTCGATCCTCTGAAGCTACTCCAGTCTGGAAGTGTATATTCCCTGGTAGCCCAGTGGTACCCTTTTCCCTTTTCGTTGGCCAAGGTTCCCTTTTAAAGTAACCACCCCGCAAAGAAGGTGCCCTTGTCAGCATATTGCTGGGCTACCAAGATTCGGCTGCATCTAGACAAGGCATGGTTTGGGTCCCCCTCAAACTGAAAACCTCAACCCCAAGCACCCGACAGTACTTTGCAGAGGCAATGGCCGTGCTGGAACTGACCGATCCAACCTGGTCCAGGCCACGTCTCCAATCAGTTCTGGTTGCCCACGTAACATCGCATAGGGAAAGGTGCATGGACGCCATAGTCAAGGGGTGGGAGAGCGATGTGTGAGAGCGTGACAGGACACGTAGGCCTAAGGGAGGTGCGAGAGAGAGAGAGCGAGAGAGAGAGAGATAGGAGCCGGCGACAGCGAGGCAGCGAGAGAGAGCGGGGGAGTCAGAGTGAGACTGCCCGCAAAGCTTCCGCCCTAAGTTGGGAGAAGACCGTGCAAGTCCAGCTCCTGTACCCGATGTTTCCCTCACACTTTCGGGATCTTGGGGCAGGTTTGCAGAGTTTCCGGTGCTGTCGGGTTGTGATTGTGTCTTTTACTATGGGGGTGGAAAGGGGGGGGGGGTCCCTCGGGATGGGGATGCAGGAGTGACCCTCTGAGACACTCCCCCCTCAAGACGATTAGTAGTGCTATGGCTCAGGTGCAGTCGCGCTCCGAGACGGTTCCTTTGCCTTTGGAGAAGTCGCCCGGCATTGCAAATGGAGTCACCTGAATACCCTTTAGAAGGGGAAATGTGGTTTAGCGGAGAAAGGGTGTGTGAGCGTGTGACAGGCAGGGTTGTCTAGGCAGGGTTTAACTTTCACGCGTTTCTAAAGACTCCCAAAGACCATGACATTATCATAATGCTGGGGAAGGTCTTGTTGGGCCACTGCTTAGGGGAGGCTAGGGTGCGGTTCCAGACTCAGCAGAGAGATAGAGCTCGAGAGAGAGAGAGAGAGCGGGGGTCGGGGTCCTTTTTCAACAAGATGTTCAAACCATCTTGGTTGACCTCTCCACCTCAGCACAAGGCCCTCAAGCCCTGCAACGCCTGTGAGGTTTCGGGAGTTAATCGCCGAAGCACAAAAGAGCCTGTGAGGCACACATTGCTCTTCGACGCGGCCGCAAATCCGAATGATGAGGCAACTGATTTGAGCTGCCCATAAGTACCCTTATTGCCTTTGTGACGGGACACGGGCCCATGATCAACCTACATAAACCAGACCAGCGGTACCCGGTTTACCCTACATTCCAAACCCTGAACCTTAAACCCTAAACTCCTCCCCATAATACTGGAAAACCGCGTGATGCCCAGATGCCACGGCAGTTGCCTCAAGCCAAACCCAAGTATATCTGGTTTTGGGTTTTGGGTTTTGGGTTTAGGGTTTACCCAGAGAAGGTCTGGCCAGAGTGAACCTACAGGCTCATGACAAATCCCGTCGGCACCCTAGTGGAGCTTGTTGAAAGAGGTACCGGAATCGGTATGAAGTTAGGGTCCCGAGCTAAGGTTACACCTACGGGTCCATGTACCTCATTATTATATACTTGGGCCCTAAAGTCCTTGTATAGAAGGTACGTTAACCCTAGTATTCGCTATTTTGGGTAGACCCTTAGGGTACTATGGAAGCAATGTGTCCAAGGCTGGCAGGAAGCTGGTTGATCGGTTCGCCTTCTTGGACCAGGTGCCGGGAGGGTCGGGATGTAACAGTGAAGGTGGCAACTGCCCAAGACAGGAGCAAGTATACAGGGAAAGCTTCCCGCCCACTGTACGATCAAGAGCTCAGGGATGAATGGAACCCAACCTGCCCCCCCCCCCCCCCCCCCATGTCTCTGCTTAGATCGAGCACCATCTTGTACTTACGTAAGAAAAAAACCTAAACCCTTGAACCGCCTGTTTTCCTTGCTGAGTGGTGCGTGTAAGAAGATCCCTCCCTTGCTCCCCTCTATGCCAGTTTGGTTGGTTTCTTCCTTCTCGGTCTGTGTCAGGTACGAGGATATGAGTTTCATACTTAAACAGCAGAGAAATGGTAGCCACAGCTGCCAAAACTTGAGCCCCCAAACCAAGCCAAAAATGTTACGAAAGAACGACTGCCTGACTGCCTGATGATTCTGGTGATGCTGGTGATACTGAGTTTTCGTGCACGTGTAGCATTCAGACATTCCTTGCAGTTCTTTCCACAGGCTCTTCTTGAATATAAAAATACATGTGTATATATATATATATATATATGTATATATAGTTAGATATTTGTATGTTTATGCATGCAAGGCTTTTTTTATAATTGGCATGATGTGCTGCAGGACCAGATTGTGACCTGTCCCTCGGCAAATGAATTGGGCGCGCGTTTTGCCGTGAGCGCACTCAAGGTTTATGCGGGTTCGGGGTTCGGCTCACCCACGTCTTCCAAGAGCAGAGCACTTTTTGGAAGTCCGAACCCTGCATCCGAGGTGATCCCGAGACGAACGACCAGAACTCCGAGAATCTTGGCTGCCCTCCTTGCCTGACATTCCACCCAAGACTCCCTTCCCTTCTCTCTGTCTCTATATTATATACATATATACACGCATACACAGATACAAATCAGCGATATGTATGCATATATGTATATATATATATATATGCGCGTACATGTAGATAGACACATCGAATACACATGGGGGGGGGGCAAAAGCCCCGAACCCAGAACAGCCTGAAAGCCCACCAATGTACCAAGGACCAACTGCAAGCAACTTAACGGAGCCTCTGCTTACTTCGACGGCGGCCTTGTCGAGATGAAGACGGTGACTGGACGCATTAGGGCGTCGGGTTGCAGCTTGAGGACGCTCAACTCTCATGTCTTACTGCGGGTCGCCGCTTAAGCCTTCTACCCACAAGAAGGACGTACGGACAGACCGACGTACCGACCGACGTACCGACAGATACACAGACCGACAGAGAGAGAGAGAGAGAGAGAGAGAGAGAGGGAGAGGGAGAGGGAGAGGGAGAGGGAGAGGGAGAGGCAGAGGGAGAGGGAGAGGGAGAGGGAGAGGGAGAGGGAGAGGGAGGGAGACAGAGAGAGACCGAGAGACAGAAAGGGAGAGGGCGTGAAGCAGTTCAGCATGCAGGTCGGAAGCCATCACATTGCCAGCACCCGCAACAACGTGGCTTGGCCTTCTTGGCATGTCATGCTCCCTTGCGGGTGTGTTGGCCGCTGAAACGTAATTAAGGAATTCGTGAATTTTCCTAAACCCTAAACCCTAAACCCTAAACCCTAAACCCTAAACCCTAAACCCTAAACCCTAAACACTAAAACTAAGATGGGCTATGCAGTTGCCCCAAGCGGGACCTTACTACTATAATCTGCTATTGTGGTGTCCTTATCCTATCTATGATTTTATAGTGGTTGGGGACACCACATGATCCCTAGGCCCCAAGCGCCATGCCCTTTTGTGGCAAAGGAGTTCTCCAATGCTCCCCTTGCTTGTGCTCCCAGATCCTTAGGGGTACAGGCTTCACGGTTTAGGACTTAGAGGTTTTTGGGGTTTTATCGGGTTCAGGCATTTAGGGCTTTTGGGTTTGAGGGAAGCTGCTGAGGACTTCACCAATCGGTCGCACAAGGCGAGCATCAAAGTGACAGGAGACTCTTGCGGCTCGCGAGTCCCCTCTCGCAGCCGGGGCCCTCCCCCTCCTCCCTGCCCCCTCTGCTATAGAAAGGGTTTAGGGTTTATGGGTTTAGGGTTTAGGGTTTACGAACTTTAGTTGACGGATGTTAATGGGGCTTATAACTCATCACCTGGATCAGTTGGCGTGCTTCCGGGTTTCCCGGCGTTCCTCTCAGGAGGCATGCAGCAGGTTGCATGCCCTCATGCTGCGCCCTAGAAAGCTTCCCAATCCCGGGTCGAATCCTTTCAATGCGTAAAAGCCCCCAAACCCAGTGTTGAAATGGGTAGACTAAGAAGCTGGCTCCAACCCTTGACAGCACCCTGAGCCAGTTGAACGTCGGCTCATGTCGGCTCCATCTTGGCTAGGCTCAAGATCTTCAAGATACTCTAAGGGAAGTTGCATGGTCCCTTAATCCAGTCCCTTACCCTCCTTCAAGGCTTCTGAAGTACGGCCCCTGGGGTTTTAACGGGTTTGCAGCTACTGTTTGCTTGAGAACCCCCCCCCCCCCCCCAAATAATTAGACAATAATCCCCCCCCCCCCATATTGCCGTTGTAGGGAAGAATATGTTTATTGTGTGCGGGGTTCTTAAGCAAACAGGTCTTGGGGTTCCGGGTTTCGGGCGTAGGGTTTGAGGTTTAGGGTTCGAGGAGTCACCCTCGAGTTCTACGAGAACCTCGCCTTGGGTGTAGGTCTGCGCCCAAGGGGAGTTGTGGATGGTTCCAAGCTCGGGGGCCTTGATCCCCAGACCCCCTACATAAACCTTAAACCCTAAACTCCAAGCAGCCCTAAACCCTAAACCCTATAAACCCTAAACTACCAACCCCATGTCCAGCTCACCCATGCACTCAGCAACTCCGACTACCCCCAACCCTTGATTTTAAGGATTTGTCCGTACACCGCGTCAGGCTGCATGCTTGGGGTTTAGGGTTTAAGGCTTAGGGTTTAAGGGGGGGATATCTATGGTTCCCCAAAAAACCCCGTTTCAATGCTGAACCTAAATGGCTCTCGCCAGCCTGGGGTTTAGGGTTGCAGGTTTAGGGTCTATAGGGTTCAAGATTTCAGGTCTAGGGTTTGCGGTAGGGTACAGGGTTCAGGGGGCTTCGGGCTTCAGGTTTGGGTTTTGCTTTAGGGTTTAGGGTTTAGGGTTTAGGGTTTAGGGTCAGGTGTACTTGGCTTGGGCTTTCAGGGGCGCTCCGGGCCCCTTTGGCAGAGACCGAGGTGCCTTCTGCGGGTTGATCCTGATCGTGTACGTGGCCTGCGCACTTCACGCAGTGAGGCAGCTGTGAACCTCATTATGACTAGGATGCCCAGTAGTACCCTTATCCCCTTTTGGGGGTTTAGGTTCCCTTATAAACCCCTTTAAGCAAAAAAGGACACCCTTTTTAAGCCTAGGTTACTGGGCAGCCTAGATGATGCATTACTGCGGACTTCGATGCCCTCAATTTGAACCATTGCCTAATCATAGCTCTTGATGGACAAGCCTGGAGCAATCTCCAGGAAGCTTTTGTGCCCTAACCCGCCTGGTTCTTAGTAGGAATGAGGGGATGAGGGCCCTATATTATTACCTGTAAGGGAGTATACAGGTACGTCATTCCTTCATCCCCTACTAAGAACCAGCAAGCAAGCCCGCTGTTGAGGCTCTAGGGTTTGAGGCTTCGAGGCAAGAAGTTGTGAACTTTGCAAGTGAAGGGTGAACAGGATGCATCAGGTTGCCCCAGGCTCTGAACCGCGTCAACTAAACCCTTAACTTGGAGCCCTAATCGAACCCCGAAGCCTTAAAACCCATACTACAGTATTGCCTTTGTTTCCTGTGTCAAGGGGTTCAGGGCTCACAGTTCCCTCCTATACCCAGAAGGGCTTCCGAGACCGAGACGGTCGACTCGTAGTAAAACGGAAGTCGGTGCCCCACAAACCATATACTAAGTATGTTTTCGTGATTTTCGTACCCTAACCTTAAAGTTTTAGTTGAGCCCCAAGACACGAGTCCATTGGAAACACACTTAGGGGTTACTACAACAGCCACCCTCTGGGCCCTAAACCCTATACCCTATAAACCCTAAACCCTATATAAACCCAAAACCCGACAAACGAACCCTTTGGAGGAAGCCTGGCAGTTGGCTCTTCTCCCGCCGCTACCGGCCGCGAGTGCTGAGACCTGGCGGCAAGGGTTTAGGGTTTCTGGGTTTAGGGTTTATAGGGTTTATAGGGTTTATGGGGTTTATAGGGTTTATAGGGTTTATAGGGTTTATAGGGTTTATAGGGTTTATAGGGTTTATAGGGTTTATAGGGTTTATAGGGTTTATAGGGTTTGGTTTAGGGTTTCTGGGTTTAGGGTTTGGGGTTTAGAATTGTGGCGTTTCTGGATTGCAGGGTTTAGGGTGCAGGGTTTAGGGTTTCAGAGTTTTAGGGTTCAGGGATTTAGGGGTTTTGGGTTTAGAGTCTTGGGGCTTCAGGATTGTTTAGGGTTTCAGGGTTTTTTTGCGTTTAGGGGTTTAGGGGTTTACGATTTAGGGTTCTGGGGTTTCAGGATTGTATGGGGTTTCAAGTTTTTTGGGTAGGGGTTTAGGGTTTCGGAGTTTAGGTTTCAGGGTATCAAGGAATTTAGGTTTCAGGGTTTTGGATTCTTCAGGGTTTATAGGTGTAGGGTTTGGGGCTTTATGTAGGGTTTTGGGCTTAAGGTTAGCTACTTTTTGGTCAGGGCTTTGAGGCCCCCTCAGCATGGTTTGCTTTCTGGCACCGGCATCTCAGACACTAAACCTCAAAGCCCTTGCCCCGAAACCCCAAAACCCGAAAACCACGAACCCCACCCTAAACCCCAAAAAAAACCCTCTAAGCTCTCTAAACCCTCTAAACCCTATAGATACCCTATCCGACTTGAGACATTGAACTCCGCAAGCTTTGCAAGGAATTGGGTCTTGGGCAAGGAGTGCCGACATGAACCCTAATTTCCTAAACCCTGAGGGCAGCAGTTGTAAACCCCAAGCCCTGAACCCCAAACCCCAAAGCCTAAAGCCTAAAGCCTCCTCGCCCCTTCTCCCCTTCTTTCAACAGCGTCCCCGTCTTCCCGAAATAACCCGGCAAAAAATGCCCTAAAACCCCAAGCAACCCTATGAACCCCCAAACGACATGGGCTTTTGAATCCACGGGGTCCGAGTTGAGCATGCATGCATTCTAAGAGTTCAGGGGGAATTCGGGTTCAGGGCGTCGGGCTTCTGGAGTTCCAGGCGGCCCTTACTGTGAGGCAGCGTAAACCTATCATGCAATCCCTCAGGTTAGGAGAGACCCTAAACCCTAAACCCTAAACCCTAGACCCGGGTTTTTGTGAGTTTTTTTGTTCGCAAGGCAACTCGAGTATTAGGGTTGCCTAGCAGGGGCACCCTCGGCCAAGATCGGGGAAGACTTGTATCCCCTGACCATCCACTTGGGCCCCCCCTCCCCATAAACCTACTTACAACTACAGTTTAGGGTTTTGGGTTCCTTTTTTCTGGGGGTTATGAGTAGGGTACCTATAGCTATGACTGGCTTGAAGCCGCACTCCTACAACAACCCATGGGCATTCACATACTTGGGAGTTCGCCTTGAGATGTATCTGGCTGTGTCTCCCCACTAAACCCTAAACCCTACATTACTAGAGCCTGAAACCCTAATTCGGCCCTACCTGGTCATGAACCAACACCCCACCCAAACCCTTCATCGTAGATCCGGACCTTTCTTGTCCACATTTTCCTATGTTGGCCATCAAAGCAGGGGCCCCCCCCCCCCCCCCCCCCCTCCCGCAAAACGAGGTGAACTGAAGCAAGAGGGCTTTTGGACAAAAGCCACCCTAAACCCTAAACCCCGAACCCTAAACCTCATAGTTCATGAACAGATAATCCGCACACAAACCCTCTCTTATAGGGAGTAGTAGGGAACCTTGGGCTACATACCCCCCTTGAAACCCCCCCTCCCTTAAGAAACCCTAAACCCTAAACCCTAAACCCTAAACCCTAAACCCAACCCTATAATTATAAGATTCACCAGCTGATCACCACTCCGCAGGACCGCATGGCTCGACTGGTCGAGCAGCGTCGGCAGATCGTCGCTCAGCAGAGGCAAAGGTCTCAGTGTCTTCGTGGGTTTAGGGTTTAGGGTTTAGGGTCTAGGGTCTAGGGTTTAGGGTTTAGGGTTTAGGGTTTAGGGTCTAGGGTTTAGGGTTGAGGGTTTAGGGTTCTCCGTGTCTCTGTGGCTTTAGGGTTGACCTGGAGGTGCATGGGTAGTGAAAACTGGGGTTCTGAGTGGAATAACTATGGTTGTGAGTAGTTTTGTTCAAACTTGAGGTCCTTCGAACCCAACATAATATGGTCATTTCTCACAGTTGGGCCACCCTGAATAGAGGCGCGTCCTTATAATCAGGACCCAGACGGGACCATACTTTAGAGAAGTGACCACGTAACTGCCCGTGAACCTTCAAGTAGGGCGGTGGTGTGCTGTCTGCTGTCCTGTGGTGCTGTGGACTCAGAAGCGTTCAGCGATCCCAGTGTCTGCTTAGCAAGAGCTCGAGGTACCATGCATGGACCAAAAAACCGACTAGAAGAGGGATGGCCCGAAAGCATCGATTTGCCGCGCGTTGACTCCATGCAGTTGACTCTTTGCAGCCAAAGTGTATGCGCTTGGACAAATGTATGCACTTACATGGTTGCATAGTCACTTGTACACTGCACTTGTCTGATTTGCGATGGTTTTGGAACCAGCGAATTCGGGGACCATGGTATACTTGCGATGCTTTTGGAACCAGCGAATTCGGGGGCCATGGTTTTCGCGATCATGGTTTTTGCGATGGTTTTGGAAACAGCGATTTCGGGGACCATGGTATGTGCGATGCTTCTGGAAAAAGCGAATTCGGGGACCATGGTATTTGCGATGGTTTTGGAACCAGCGAATTCGGGGACCATGGATTTGCGATGGTTTTGGAAGCAGAGAATTCGGGGACCATGGTTTTCGCGATGGTTTTTGGAACCAGCGAATTCGGGAGGTTTTCGAGGCCCCGGAAGTCGAGTCCCATGATATTTGCGAGGTTTTCGAGGAATTCGAGTCCCACGATATTTGCGAGGTTTTCGAGGCCCCGGATTTCGAGTCCCGCGACATTTGCAAGGGTTTCGAGGAATTTGAGTCCCGCGATATTTGCGATGGTTTATTTGCGATGGTTTCGACACGCAAGCTCCGGGTGTCCGCGGCGGGAATGCTATTTGCGAGGTTTTCAAGTATGTCCGGAATTCCGCTTCCATGCTACTTGCGGTGTTTTCAAGCGCCCAGATGTCCGTTACCATGCTATTTGCAGTGTTTTCAAGCGCCCAGATGTCCGTTACCATGCTATTTGCGGCGTCTTCATGCGCCCAGATGTCCGTTACCATGCTATTTGCGGTGTTTTCAAGCGCCCAGATGTCCGTTACCGTGCTATTTGCAGTGTTTTCAAGCGGCCAGATGTCCGTTACCGTGCTATTTGCGGCGTTTTCATGCGCCCAGATGTCCGTTACCGTGCTATTTGCGGTGTTTTCAAGCGCCCAGATGTCCGTTACCATGCTATTTGCGGTGTTTTCAAGCGGCCAGATGTCCGTTACCATGCTATTTGCGGCGTTTTCATGCGCCCAGATGTCCGTTACCGTGCTATTTGCGGTGTTTTCAAGCGCCCAGATGTCCGTTACCATGCTATTTGCGGTGTTTTCAAGCGGCCAGATGTCCGTTACCATGCTATTTGCGGTGTTTTCAAGCGGCCAGATGTCCGTTACCATGCTATTTGCGGTGTTTTCAGATGCCCAGGGCGTCCGCGGCGTACTATACGTCTGTACTACAAAAAGTCGACTTTCCAGCCACGGAAGCTCCGCGTGTGCGCGGCGTACTACGTGAGTACTACAAAAAGTCGACTTTCCAGCCACGGAAGCTCCGGGCGTCCCCGGCGTACTATACGTCTGTATTACAAAAGTCGACTTTCCAGCCACGGAAGCTCCGCGTGTGCGCGGCGTACTACGTTTGTACTACAAAAGTCGTTTTTCCAGCCACGGAAACTCCGGGCGCCCCCGGCATACTATACGTCTGTACTACAAAAGTCGACTTTCCAGCTACGGAAGCTCCGCGTGTCCGCGGCGTACTACGTTTGTACTACAAAAAATCGACTTTCCCAGCCACGGAAGCTCCGGGCGTCCCCGGTGTACTATACGTCTGTACTACAAAAGTCGACTTTCCAGCTACGGAAGCTCCGCGTGTCCGCGGCGTACTACGTTTGTACTACAAAAGTCGACTTTCCAGCCACGGAAGCTCCGGGCGTCCCCTGCGTACTACATTTGTACTACAAAACTCGATTTTCCAGCCACGGAAGTCCCCAGCATACTACGTCTGTACTACACAAGTCGAAAAACAAACGCAAAAAACGCAAAAACACTACGGTTTTAGCACCGCGACCACGCGAAAACCCGCAGAGGGGTTACGTTTGCATGTCAAGAAACGCAAAAACACGAGGGTTTCGGCACCGCGCCAACGCCGAAAGCCGCAGAGGGGTTACGTTTGTATGTCAAAAAACGCAAAAACACCACGGTTTTGGCACCGTGCCAACGCCGAAACCCGCAGAGGGTTGTCTGCAGCCACGAAAAAAGTACCAAAAACGACGGCTTTAGCACCGCGACCCGGCGATCACCCGCAGAGGGTTGTCCGCGGCCACAAAGAAACGTAAAAAAACGACGGTTTGGCACCGCGACCACGCCGAAACCCGCAGAGGGTTGTCCGCGCAAATCAAGAAACGTAACAAAACGACGGTTTTAGCACCGCGACCACGCCGAAACCCGCAGAGGGTTGCAATCCCGATTGGCGATGTCAACCCAGCCCGCCGCCTTAGAAAGAGTAATTTTAATTTAGAAATCTAGGACTGGGTACGAAGGTCTAGTAAATTCTACGCAAATCTAGAAATTTGTATTCACTGATTACTAAACTCTATGCACTTCACTCTATGCACTTCGCTCTATGCACTTCACTCTATGCACTTCACTCTATGCACTTCACTCTATGCACTTCACTCTATGCACTTCACTCTATGCACTTCAGTCTATGTTGTTGTGTCAGGGGGCTCCGCACGGAAGAACCCTTCGCGATGCTTTCGGGAAAACCCTGATCATGAGCACCACTGACGGTGCTAGTGTCCTGAGGCCCTGTTAGGGTCTCTGGGGTTGAGGGCCCGAAGCCCTTTACCCCCCCCCCCCCCAAAAAAAAAAAAAAAAAAAAAAAAAAAAACAAGCATGTCTCCCCTCAACCCTCAGGCCCTAGACCCTAGCCTAGGACCCAGAGTGGGCCCGGATTCCCTTCCCTTTTCAGCCGCTTCAAACCAAAAAAGGTCACCCTTTGCATTCCCATTGGGTCTAGTAGCCCTTCAACTTTTCCTGGGCCCCTCAATCGCCTAAGTCCCCCTGCCACTCCAGAGTCCTTAAAGGGACCCCCCAAACGAGTACCCCTTTTTTCCCTTTGTAGTGCTTTACTGTAACTTTAGATCCTTAGCCTTTTTGGGTTTATTGGGTTTCTTAATAAGGCAGCTAACAATTTAGTTTTTAGCTACCCTCCGAAGTGCAGCCAAGTTCCGAAACCCTCACGTCTATCTGCCACAGGAAGGAGTGGGCCAAGAAGGCCAACGCCCACGCGGCCGACGAAGAGGGGGCAGATGGGCAGGCCATTCTTGGCGGCCCATAAAGGGCTGTTGGGCTTTGCGGCGCTTTGAGGCTTAAGGGGTTTAGGGTTTAGGGTTTAGGGTTGCTTGGTGAGGGGTTTTAAGGTTTGGGCTTCAGGTTCTGTAGGTTTCAGTTTGAGGTCAGGGTGTTAAGGTTACAGTTTGTGGTCTAGGACGAGTTAACGGTCTTTCGGGTATTTTTTAGAGGTTTATAGACGCGTGGGGTTCTCTTCCGGTTTTATAAAGGTTTTGTAAAGCCATCCTTGACTGTCAGTGGTTGGACAGTTCATGCCGGGCCCTGTTTTCGGGGGCACGGACATGATATACGAAGGAGGGTCGAAGGCCAAGCAGGGGTTGTGCGTTGGGAGGCGCTAAGGTTTGTATGTCCCTAAACCCTAAACCCCAAACCCGAAACCCTAAACCCTGAACCCTAAACCGTGTCGCTGCAACTCATGACAGGCAGCCGAAGTGGCTTTGCCGGAGGACCTTCATTCAACTCGGATCAGATCTGACACCCTGGAACCCCCTAAGCCTTAAGCCCTGAGAAATTTGCCCTTTTGGGGTACCCTAGAATCCCTTAAGCCTTAAGCCCTGCGAAATTTGCCCTTTTGGGGTACCCTAGAATCCCTTAAGCCTTAAGCCCTGCGAAATTTGCCCTTTTGGGGTACCCTAGAATCCCTTAAGCCTTAAGCCCTGCGAAATTTGCCCTTTTGGGGTACCCTAGAATCCCTTAAGCCTTAAGCCCTGCGAAATTTGCCCTTTTGGGGTACCCTAGAATCCCTTAAGCCTTAAGCCCTGCGAAATTTGCCCTTTTGGGGTACCCTAGAATCCCTTAAGCCTTAAGCCCTGCGAAATTTGCCCTTTTGGGGTACCCTAGAATCCCTTAAGCCTTAAGCCCTGCGAAATTTGCCCTTTAAGCCTAGAATCCCTTAAGCCTTAAGCCCTGCGAAATTTGCCCTTTTGGGGTACCCTAGAATCCCTTAAGCCTTAAGCCCTGAGAAATTCGCCCCGCGCCAGACTCCGAAACCAGCAGCCCCTTGCGAAACAAGCTGAGTTGCTGTTACCTCAGTTGCTTAAAGGTAGGGAGCTAAGCCCGTGTGAAGCCCCGCAAGCACCTCAAGCGACCCTAACCTGCTATTTTTGTAGGCCTACCTGAAATCCTGTGCCTAAACGCTTGCAGAAATGTAGGTTCAGGGCTCTTAAGGCAAGGAGTCCTGGTGGCAAACTACTTACAGAACAGCGGAGTTTTAAGACGCTGAAACCAAAGCCCTACGGTCATTTTCTTACAAAACCCTAACGATCCATGTACCTATGTAGTCTATACCTGGGCCCTCAAGCTACTTTATGGGAGCCCCTTTAAGGCCCAAGTATAGACATAGGTATAGGGACCCTTAGGGAAACAGAGGAGTCCATGACGTGGTTCCAGAGCATCAAGCGATGCTTCCGCAAGTGCGGCGTCGGCGAGCAGCAGCTCACGACAATCATGCCGGGGGCCCGAGTGGGAGCCATAAACACTTAGGGTTGAGGGTTTGGGGTTTAGGGCTTAGGGTTTAGGGTTTAGGGTTTAGGGTACCCCGGGGGAAACGGGGGGGGGGGGGGGGGGGGGGGCGGGGCGGTCCTTATGATGAGCTGCAGGAGATATTCTGAGGTGTGGTCATCATTCTTGCTCATTTCCAGATATTTGGTTTTTTGTAAGTTAGAAGCTACACTTTTTGAAGTTGTACTGAGCGTTTGCTCAGTCTGCATTTGCAAGTAGATTATTGAAATTGGGAGACCCTAAACCCTAGGCCCTAAACCCTAAACCCTAGACCTTCTAAGGGTTTTTGGGCTTCCTAGATCCCAGACACTCAATTCCAAGCTCCCACCCCCAAGCCCTGAACCTAGACCCTAGACCCTAAACCCTAAACCCTAAACCCTAAACCCTAAACCATGTCCGAAAGCCGAGGTATGCTGTGCTCAACGTCCTCGTCTTCCTGATCGGCTTCCTCTCGAACTTGAAAGGTGGCTTCCATGAGTCCTGGGCCTATCCCATCGCCAAGGCCGGGGGGCCCATTCTTGGAGGGGAAATTCACCCTAAACCCTAAACCCTAAACCCTAAACCCTAAACCCTAAACCCTAAACCCGGTATACCGGCTTTAGGGTTTCGGGTTCAATTGGGGTTTAGGGGTTTAGGGCCCAAGCCCTCCTAGAACTCAAGAGTAACAAATCCCGGGTCATGCCAGGCGTGCACCACTCAACACGAGCTGCTACTGGTACTCTGGCAGAGAGCCTGACCTAACCCTATAGGCCAAGAACTAGTCCAGCTAAGGGTTTGTGAAACTCTGCGGGCTGCTTGCCGCACTGCTTGCAAATTCCTGATGCTTCTAATTGGTGGCCTGTAACTTGTATGAGTGCTCTCTATATGCTTATCCTTTCCAGAAACAGCAAAAGGCAAGCCCCTAAACCCCCTACAGTAATTACCAATCCTGTGATCTGCTCTGAAACCCTGAGCCCTAAATCCTAAACTCAAAGTCCTGAAAGCCCTAAAGCCTAAACCCTGAACCCTAAACCCTAAACCCTAACCCTTCTTGCCAGGGTGGCGGCTACAGCATGGACCTGAACTTCGCCATGCTCATCCTGCCCACCCTGTGCTTTGGCTGGCTTTATAAACTTAACCCTTTTCGCCGGTTCACTACTATTTGCTTAAGAACCCTAAAAGAACCTTTTCGAGGGTTCCGGTTCACTACTAGTTGCTTAAGAACCCTAAAAGAATGCAAATAACAAATCCCTGGATTGCCCTTATCAGGAAGATTTTTTTTTGGGGGTGGGGGTTCTTAAGCAAGTACTGGTTCAGGGTTGAGGGTTCAGGTTTTTCGGACGTCGGGTCCCAGACCCTAAAACTCGAAAGCCCAAAAACCCTACCCAGAACCCCAAAATCCTATACAAGGCCCATGAAGATCAAGAAGCCGTGAGCTGAAAGATTTCGGAGTTTCCGGCAATATCTTCAGCATTTTCGAGGTCTAGTTGACAGAGTTCTCTAAGACCTAAACCTGGGAACCTCAGTATCACAACAGTTTGCCGCGTTGGCTGCCGAATCTAAAGCCCCCCAAACCGGATGCCCTTTGCCCCACTCAGAGTAGCCTAGTGTAAGCAAGAAAGGGTGAAGTTCAACGTGCCTGTGCTTGTTGAGGCATGTTTTCCGTTGTTCTCTCAGGATATGTAGGTTGCCTTACGCCTTTAACCCAAACCCTAAACCTACTCTCACCCTAAACCCCGGCCCTGAACCCTAAACTTAGGTTTTCTTATGTTGCTCCGCCTTCAGAAGTAGGAGTTGGCAGCCTACTCTAGGTGTACGCCCCACGATTCTCAGTATCCCAGGAAGAGTCTTCAGACGACCATGAGGCAGGTTTGGGCGTTTTTTTGTTTTTGCTTTTTTGTTCCTCGCTGTCTCGTCCGCCCTGAAGAATGCCTTGTGTTCAGGAGTGTATGCAATGTGGGTTTAGGGTTTATGGTTTCAAGACCACAAACTAAACCCTAAATCGTTGCCAACACTATCCCCTGGTAAGCCCTGCCGCTTTGGAGTATCGACTGCCCAAACTACACATTCTAGCTAACAGGCCCCTGTGTTGAACCAGCTTCCCATGGCAGGAAGTGCACAAGCAGGGTTGTAGGCCATTGTAGGCTGTTGCTGCATCTTGACCTGAAGGCTGCTTCTGCAAGTTTCGGGTTGGGTTTAGGGTTGAGGCTTGAGGGTTGAGGGTTGAGGGTTTAGGGTTTAGGGTGCAAACCCGAAGCAGCAATGGCCGAACATCCGAGCAGGCGCGTGAGCTCTTCGCGGGAATGGGTTCCGATTGATGCGCCTCATCATGGTTAGGGTTTACGGTGCCCTCAACCCTAAACCCTAAGCCTAAGCCCTAAACCCTAAACCCTGAACCCTGAACCCTGAACCCTGAACCCTGAACCCTGAACCCTGAACCCTCAACTCTACAGTCCCTCAGCAGCCTGCGATCAGCGTCTGGGGTTAGACTCCTCGAGTCTAGGAACCAACATACCCTACACCCGAAACTACTACTTGCTGATGAACCCCCAAAAAATGAGAATATTCTTCCTTATTAAGGGTAATATGGGGATTACTTTTTCTTGTGGGGTTCTTAAGCAAATAGTAGGAAACCATTCTCCTCGGCAACATCAGGCCCCTCAGAGACCCTTCCAAGGTGTTTTGCATGGTTTTTGGGCTTTTAGGGCTTAGGGTTAAGGGCTTAGGGTTTACAAGGGTTTAGGGTTTGGAGTTTAGGGGGTGGATTCCGCGGTCGGTCATCTGCGGTGTGGAGACTGCAAGATTTCCCCCCCCTTCCCCCCCCCCCCCCAAAAAAAAATAAACTAAACTGTGTTTGATGAGGTTAGCTGCATGGCAGGCCTGGGTAGTCAGAAGGCTTTTGCTGGTTGATGCAGGAGCAATGAAGCTCAAGATCCCTAACCCTAAACCCTAAACCCTAAACCCTTAACCCTTAACCCTAAACCCTAAACCCTAAACCCTAAACCCTAAACCCTAAACCCTAAACCCTAAACCCTAAACCCCCCAAACCCCGGTCAAACACTGAGGATCCCATCAACTTCCACATCGTGATCGCGAGCTACACAATGCTGGGAGCCGCTATTCACATTGCTGGACACTGTGCGGGAACCTCAGAATTCCCCCATATTCGGTAGACGTGAAAAAGTGGATGTCTCCAGATGTACTAGTCACTCGTCCTATCACTGCTCTTACAAGTCAAACCCTATAATCCCAAACCCAGAAGCACAGGATCCTTGATCCAACAACATACGCTTCCCCTCAGGTAGCCTTCTGATGCACGAAATATGGTGGTTTCCGCAATTAGGGGTGCCTTATTGGGGTCCCTATCATCAGGGAATCCTACTATTTGAGGGTCTAGTTTAGGGGTCCCCTATTTTCGTAAACCCCCCATATCTCCTTCAAGGGTTTAAGGGGAGTTTGGGGGGTGCAGGCCAGCTGCCATCTTGGCCCGTTTCTGGAGGGGGAGGGGAATCATGCACGGTGCTTGCAAACCCGTGGTTCTTGAGGGGTTTTGGTCCTTCTCACCCGAAACCCCACACCCTACACCCCAAACCCTAAACCCTAAACCCTAAACCCTAGAACCCTAGAACCTACAAATCCCGAACTTTTCAGGTCCACATCTGGCTCATCAAGACCTCTCCCGTCATGCAGCTCGACCCTCTGCACCTCTGGCGCTTGGGCAGCGATTGAGTGAGGTCGAGAGGATCCCTCAACTCTTTTCCCTGAGATCAGGGCTATGGGGTTACGGTTAAGGGTTAAGGGGTTAGGGTTTAGGGTTTAGGGTTTAGAGTTAAGGGGAGTCCCTTGAATCCTGACCAACTCCGGCGGCACGAGGCAACTTAAGGTCCTCATTTAAGGCTCTTCTGTGGAAAGCTTCAGCCCCAAAGCCTGCGATATGGTAGTTCCTGTGGTTTATGTTCTGAGCAGCTTGCCGGTGCAGTTACAGGTTTCAGTGGGCAATGGACCCTAAACCCTCAACCCCAAGCCCATGCACTCTCAGAGGCTCCAATACCCCTGAATGAAGGAATCTTCCCAAAGTTAAAATCGGGTTCCTTACATGGTTTAAGGAACATTCCTTAATTCAGGAGTATTGGAGTCTTTGGGTCTAAACCAGCGATGGTGATCCAGCGCTAGACCTGCGAGAGCTCCCTCCGCCGAGGAAGCTCACCGCAGAGGAGCAGGCAAGCGCCTAGGCTGCCCATCGTCTCTCGGGTTCAGGGTTTTGGGGTTTAGATACCCTAAACCATACACCCCAAACCCCAAACCCTTCGGCTTCAGGGCTTAGGAAGGGGCTTCATGGTTTGTTCAGGGATCTTAGGACTCATGCTTGCAGGATTGAAACCAAAGTCCTGGATCACCAAAATCGTATTTAGGGTTTAGTGTTTAGGGTTTAGAGTTTTAGGTTTAGGGCCTTCAGGATGAGGGCTTAAGGCTTAGGGGTGGGTATATGGGGGTTTACGAAAATTAAGGGACCCCTATTCAGTCCCCCAAATAGTAGGATCCCCTTATAATAAGGACCCCAAAAAGGTACCCTAATTTCGGACACCCCCATATCCCCTTTTCAAAACAAACTAGGACCCAGAGTAGGCCCTGATTCCCTTTTTTGGGGGGCATTGGGTTCCTTTCTAAGCCCCTTTAAACCATCAGAGGTTACCCTAAACCGAGAACCCTAAACCCTCAACCCTCAACCCCTTCTAGACCCTAAGACCTCATGAAGAGCTGCGGGCTCAGGTGGCATGACTCTGCTGCAGCAGGCTCGTCTCGGTTAGGTCTAGGGGGTTTAGGGGCCTTAGGGGCTTTAGGGTTTCGGGTTTGGGGCTTGGGTTTTGGGTTTTGGGTATACCCTTAGAAACTGCTCTAATGCCAGACACTTTGAACTCTTGCAAGCATCAGCAGGGGTGGTCGTGTGTGGACATTAAGCTTTTTGCATACATCACCACCTGCTTGAACAAGCAGCCATCGTATATACTTGGGTCTCAGAGGGGTTCCCATATATAGTAGCTTTCGGCCACAGATATATACTGCACATTTACATGGACCCGTCGGGAAATAGTCTTGACTTGCCGCCCTAATTCAACTTGTCAGCTCCTGAACATCCAAATCCGCTGCGCCGCGCTGACGGGCGTGATCCTCACCTTCATGATGCTGGCCATTCTTCTGACGGCTTCTCGGGTCCTGACAAGTAGAAAAACCTTGTACTATAAGACATGGGCAGCTACTATATATACCTATGATTTAAGTTACAACTACTATATACCCATGATTAAGTTACAACTACTGTATACCCATGATTAAGATACACGTCCCTTTCTTCAAGGTATGTAAGGGTTCTTCCAGCTAGGGTTTCGGATGTTGGCTTCGTGCTAGTCTCACGTCAACCAGTCCGAAGCTGGAGCTGCTACCACACGGGCGTTTAGAGTTTAGGGTTTAGGGTTTAGGGTTTAGAGTTTAGGGTCTAAGGGGCTCCTTAAAGCAAATCCCAGATAGAGCTCGTTGAGATCGATTCTATTCCGAAGAGACTCTTGTCGGTGCTCGGATGTTGAATTCGCATCGGAACTCAACTCCTTACCTGCAAATCCCCAAACCCTATCTACACCACGTTGCCCTATGTCTACGCCCATCTTTCGCTCGAGGCTATGTCCTGTTCCCGCCGTGGCACCAACTGTCTTACCCGCCGCTGCTTCGGATACAACTTGCCCCGGCCTCAGGGTTTTGGGGTTTCGGGTTCAGGGCTTAGGGTTTAGGGTCGTAATCCCCATAGTCAATCCCTATAAGGGTCCTATTCTTCTGTTGACTTACAGGAAATTACAAGTGTTGATTTAGGTTTAGAGAGAAGAGAAGCACCCCGGCGCATTGAAGGTTCCATCGTTCTGGTAGCCCGCTCCCAGCAATGCCAGCAACAGCCATGACGCCGCGTATAGTTAGCCCTATCTGCAGGACCGGAAGAATACCAAACACGGTGGAACCCATGGTTCGGGGCCTTTTGGAGCATCTCCGCCAGGGCCAAGGGTAAGGGTTAAGGGTTTAGGGGATAGGGTATAGGGTTTAGGTTTTGGGGTGGTTTTTACTCCGTGCTCCACATGCATTATCGATGCCAGGACCGAGTTCCCAGAACCCACTTCTGGTACTATGTGGAATTCGGAACCCAAGCGATATGCTACACAGCGGTACTGAATTCGAAACCCTAACCAGGTTCTGGCGCATTCACATGTCGTGGAAGCTGGTCTATGTCCTGCTCCTCGTCCACGCACCTGCTCGACTGTGGATCTGGTACCTCGAGCTGCAAGTTGAGGCTCTACCGTTTCAAGGGCCTTAAGCCTTAAGGGCCTTAAACCTCCAGGGTCTTAAGCCTTATAAGGGCCTAAGTGTACCCCAAATCGGGGTTTTCAGGATGTCTTAGAAGGTACTTGGTGCAATGCGCACCACAGTCAACCTGCGAGTCAACCTGTATACGCGAAACAAGGGGAAATAAGCCTGACGGCTAAGGCACGCTTCCTTGCATTAAGGGTATGCATACATACATGCAATGCATGCATCAAATATGTACACGGTACACCTGCCCACAGTGCTCAGGCCCCTAATTTTGGGTTCGCGCTGCCAACGTGCGATCCCCTATCTTAACTGCCACATTGGTTTAGGGTTTTGGGTTACAGTTTAGGGTTTAGGGATTACCTTGGTGGTACTTTATGGGCAACTGCAGTACGGCTGTTGAATCAAGAAGAGACTCTCTTGAGCATGGGTTTAAGCATTAAATACAATAGGAAACTCTGCCTAAACTATACTTCCATAGTAGCACAAGTGTCTCCATGCGCATCCCCATGCCTTTTGTTGCCAAGGGTCCCTTCCTATCCGTAAGGACTTTACCTGGGATCGCGGCTAAGGCTGTAGGGTTTAGGGTTCAGGGTTTAGGGTTTGGCGTTTAGGGTTTAGGGTTTCTGGTCAGGCTACGTAAACATCCATTGTGGAGAACTGGTGTCGCAGGTGTAATCTGGTAATCTGGAATCTATCAAAACTACCGCATGGGGCGGGGGGGCACCAGGTTTTTCTTCCCGACACTCTTTGTGATCGTGGACCGCCTACTGCTGGCCAACCACCAGGCTTTGCAACTCCGTCGCAGCTTAGGTGGGCTTGCGCGTTCTTCGTAGGGAATGTGCGAATGGGGTGCCCTAATATAATCTTTAAAGGGTATACGTAGGGGTATGTAAGGTGCCTAATTCCCTGATTCTCTACTAAGAACCAGGCAGTTGGGGCAAGTCCATGTATGGTAGCCGTTCAACATACCACCCTCTCCCCGAAAAGTTCCAGCAGGCAGAGGTTCCCTTGTGGTACGGATTCCCCTTTCAAATGACCCTTATTTCATGGCTCGTGTAGAATAACCCCCTCCCACATTTGAGGGCAAACAGGCTTGCAAGTGGCCGGGCGTCACGCGAGGCCGGTCGCGTGGCTGAGGCGCTTGCTTTGGGTTCGAAGCGCTCTGGCCACAATTAGCCGCGAGCGTGGTCGCGGCTTCCATCGCAAGAAATTCCCAATCATGTTGACAAATCGCGCTTCCGTCCGCATCGCCCCCCCCCCCCCGCCCCCTTGCTCGAAAACGCGCCCTCGCCCACCTGCACGATTTTGAGGGCTTGGGACGCACGCTCCTGGTTCCGTGGCCCGTGGATGGTTTCACCTCCTCCGTGTTCCGAAATGGCGCTCCCCCTCCCTCGGTCCCCTGCAGCCCAAACCCTCTAAGCCCTAAACCCTGTTGAAGTGGGCTTGGAGTGCTCTTGGGGGGGTCCTTGTGAAGTGATCTTGGATTGGTTTTGGAGTGCTCTTGCAGTAGTCTTACCACTGTTTGGGCATGTTAGGGTCTGCGCCGGGCAAAACCGGATTCCTCGAAAGAGCTCGCAACTCTTCACTATTGAGATGTAGACCCTAACCCAAAACCCAAAACCCTAAACCCCAAACCCTAAACCCTAAACCCCAAAACCCTAAACCCCAAACCCTAAACCCTAAACCCCAAGCCCTGAACCCTAACCCAAAAACCCAAAACCCTAAGCCCCGAATTCAAAGCCCAGGTACCTGTCGCTGAGGAGTGTGAAGCTGCTGCCCAGCCACGCCGGCTGCAACATCAGGGGGAGATGTGGGTCGCAGGGCGCGTCAACCATACACATATATATATATATATACACTTATGTTATGTATTTATTTATACTTACATTTATATTTATTCTTTTTTGATTTCTGGATGAAAAGAAAGATGTGCAGATATATATATATATATATACATAAATATATATATATATATACATATACAAAACGTCTCAAAATGTTCATCCCACAGCTCTCCTTTCACCTATCTTGAACCCTATTAGTCTCTAAACCGTACGAAAGCCAATGAGGCTCCAAGTCCGTCCAACGCCAAACCCCCAAACCCACATCCCCGAGCCCCGAGCTAAACACGGAGCCCAAGAAGTCCCGTGTCTCTAAGCTGTTAGCTTCTCAGGCTCGTCTATCGAAATCGCAACAAGCAAGGGCACCTTCCACCTTAAACCCTAACCCCTAAATCTAAACCCTTAACCCTAAACCCTCAACCCCTCAACACCCAGTGCTGAACCCTAGAGGAAGCGCCCTGCATGCCATATGAACTCAAACGAGCCCGCCTGAGGAGATGTCATCGGCTTGACATTCGAGCTGCCACAGGGCTTCGCCTATCAGGCTGGGCTTGCCATCCCTCCACCCTTCAACCCTCATAAATCTTAAAGCCAGAACAAACTCCGAGCGCAATCAAACAAGCCTTCTTAAGCGCTCGAATATCTTGTATCTTGGGACATTGGGAACTGGGACATTCACCGCCTGCAGATTTTCGGGGGGGGGGGGGGGGGGGGGTTGATGGTTTAGCCTAGCCCTAAACCCTAAACCCTAAACCCTAAACCCTAAGCCCTAAACCCATGTAGGGTAAGGGGAGTTTCAGACTGAATTCCCCGCCCGAGGCTGGCCAGTACATCCTGCTGGGATGGAAGGGAGAGTGGCATCCTTTCACGTTGACATCAGCCCCAGAGGAGCCTCCGTGAGTGGACGGTTTCGGATCTTAGGATTGGGATTTCGGGTTTAGGGTTTAGGGTTTCGGGTTTGGGGTTTGGGTTTGAGGTTTAGGGTTTAGGGTTTAGGGTTTAGCGTTTAGGGTTTAGGGTTTAGGGCTTAGGGTTTGGGGTTAGGGCGACATGAGGGGCCCAAGGCGAGGACTTAGCTTCAAACGCCTCGCTTGGCTCTAAGGGGCCAGGGAATGAGAAGCTTTGGACGCCGTGACACAGTCTGACCTGAGCGCGCCCCTGGGCCCCAGGAGAACTGCATCAGCGTGCACATTCGCTCGCCCAACTCCCTTGACTGGCGCCTCAGCTCTAAATCCGAGAACCCTGAACATGCCTGTGCATGCTCAATTCGTCGCGCCCGAAATCCATTTAAACCATCAAGCCAGATCGGCCTTGAGTCGTGGACGTGCTTGTTCTTCCTTTATGTGCAGATCGTTTGCTGATCTTTCTTTGGTGCCGAACACACACCTTCACTCCGAACCCTGAACCCCTGCACCCTTCACTCCCTGAACCCTGAACCCTAAACCCTAAACCCCAAACCCCAAACCCCAAACCCCTGAACCCTAAACCCTAAACCCTAAACCCTAAACCCTAAACCCTAAACCCTAGACCCTAGACCCTAGACCCTAGACCCTAGACCCTAGACCCTAAACCCTACCTAAACCCTAAACCCTAAACCCTAAACCCTAAACCCTAAACCCTAAACCCTAAAGCCTAAACCCTAAACCCTAAACCCTAATCGGATCTTTCAAGGTGTTCTGCCCTGCGCAAGCGCCTCACCGAGGAGTCGGTGCTCTTGAGTCTAGGGTATCGGGGAAGCGACTACTCTTTGAGTTCGCTATCTAGGACTTCCCTTATTCCTAGAAAGGTCGCTCTTGGTAGGACGCCCTTCTAAATTATAAACCCAATTGTGCCCAAAAGGGAAATACCCTTTGTTTCTCCTAACGGGGGTGCCTAGCGAAAGGATGTGCGGTAGTACTCCGATGCTTGTTTGGGATTGAAGTCGTTCGGAGTGGGTACTTTCAGGGTCCCTAAACCCTAAACCCTAAGCCCTACACCCTAAACCTTAAACAGCACCGGAATGTGCTGAGCTGCCAGGTAGCGATCCATCTCTCTGAAACCCTGGCACGGTCAGTTCTCAAAATTGTGGTCCCTGTTTGAGTACCCTAAATATGAGAGGCCTCCTTCTGTAGTAACCCCCCCCCAAAAAAAAATTAAATAACAAAGGCCATGTTTTAGGGAAGTGAGTGCCTTCGTTGGCTATCCTGCAGTTGGTGCTTCCGGAAGGTAGATACGGCTCTATACCTGCACGAAGCCACAAAACATCCAGAGCCCCGAAGCGCTCATGTCAGTTTGGTACCCGAAGAGGATCTTCATCCCTAAGCCCGAAGCCCTAGGCCCTAAGCCATATAAGCCCTAAACCCTAAACCCTAAACCCTAAACCCTAAACCCTAAACCCTTCACATGCGGTAATGGGCCAAAATCTTCCTGCTTGTCCAGGATGCGCCAGCCCAGGCGCGAGGAGAGGCAAAAGCAGACAAGCCAGCAAGGGTCGGCGCCTGAGCGGCCCGAAACCCCGAACTCCCCCAACCGTCAACATCAAACCCTCCACGATTTGGGGGCGGGGGGGTGGGGGGGGGAAGGGGTTCGGGTTTAGGGTTCAGGGTAGCAAGCAGGTACATCCGGGGATATTTGTATTCAACGCTGATGCTTGGCTTGCGATTTGAAACCCACAACGCTTACTTTGCAAAGAGAGCCCGCAATCATTTTCCAGACCTGAACATCCCACGCACGAAAAAAGCCGAAGATGCCAAGATTTGCCAAGATACCCCGACATGAGGGCTTCACAAACAAAATCAGGGGTCCTTTTTTTGTGGGGGGGTGGGGGTCTTTCTAACATGATTGATTCGATTAGTATATTTTTGGGTATCCCTAAGCCTTCAACCCACCTCCAAGGGTAGTTACATGGTCCCTTAGTATGGGCCCTTAAAAGGGGCAGCCCTTATATGCCCCGTATAGATGCTAGAAGCATATGGTTGGACCCTTTAGAGACGGTATGGGACCATATTCAGGGCCCCAGCCTCTGTGTCACAGTGCAGGCGCCCCTTCTGATTGAGTACAACAAGTGCACCTTGCCAAACAGAGCCTTGGGCGGTGCACACTGTAGCGTTTTGGGCGTGGGTTTTTGATGTTGAGGGGCGGGTTTCTGAAACCCCAAACCCCTGAAACCCAAGCCTCAAACCCCTTACTGCAAATTGCCGACACTAGGAAAGCTCTTGCTTTTGTTTTTAATCTAGGGACCAGCTGAAACATCAACAACCCCCCGTATCCCTATGATTCTTGAATCCCTACTAAAGGCATGTACCCTAAGTTTCCTAAACCCTCTCAACCTCACAACCTTCTAGGATTCATTGAGTCTTCGGGAAGCCATGAACCTTCTCAGGCCACATCGTCTACAACGTGCCCAAGGTAGCTCGCAAAGAGGAGGAGGAGAGGAAACATACGACGGTTTTAGCGTCTATTGTGTTCTCACCCCTAAACCCTAACCAGAAACCTTAGGCAGGGAATGCGGGTTCGAACGTGTGCAGGTCTTCGTACATGGGATGTTAGGGGGCGTGTTTAGGACCTGTGTGTGGTAGTTTATAGGCCGATTGTCGCCCCAATTATTTTTCTTTGTGGCGCAGTAGTAAATTTGATGGTTTGTGACATACCACCCCCCATGAGAAGGAACTGCATCCCTGTGCTCCATAGCTTGGTAGCGTCGAGATCAGGTTTCGGGGGCTGAACCCTGTAAACCCGTGATGGCCCAAAAAAGACTGTAATCCCTTCAATCATACCTATACTGTGGCACGCCAAGAAGTAGGTGGGGTGTGTAACGGAGCGTGGGAGGGATGGGGGCGTAAGGATGCGTAAGGACCCATATTCACCCAAGAGAATAAACCCTAAACCCTAAACCCTTTCCCCTAAACCCTAAACCCTTTCCCCTAAACCTCTAAACCTAAACCCCTAAACCCTAAACCTCTAAACCCTAAACCCTAAAACCTTCATTTTCCTGGTTCCTTATGACAGGAGCTGCTGGTCAAGGACCTGGATTCCCCCGACGCAGCCGACGCATCGAGCCCCCAGGGCCCACGCCTGCTGGGGCGAAACACCTCAGGCAGTTCTGGGGCTTCGGGGTTAGGGTTGAGGGTTTAGGGTTTAGGGTTTAGGGTTTCGGGGTTGAGGATTTACTTGGAGGTTCATGGGTAGTTGTTAATGTGGCTATTGTGGCTATTGAGTAGGGTAACCAGAGTTATGAGGGGTTATTGCCCTTATCGGGTACTTGCAACCTTACGTTTTACTACCCATGAACTTTCAAGTAGGGCATATATATAGGGCCTGTAGTGCTTACTTGAAGGTTCATGGGTAGTTGCAAGTAGGGTAACGTTACTACCAGCTATTCTAGATACCGTACTTATAACCCCACTTAGAACTACCCCTGAACCTTCAAGTATGGTGGTTTGCTGGGCTTGTGGGGACCAAAGGATTTAGGCTTATAAGTACAGGATTGGGTGCTTACAGGGTTACACAAACCTCCAAAGAATCCACAGCAATCGCCGACATGCCCGCCTATTTGGAGTACTGTGGGGGATTCATGTAAGTGCGTAGCCCCATCTCTCTCTGGATGCCATAAACGGTGCACTTCACGAACCATCCAATTCCGCCTAGGTGTGTGTGTGTGTTTCATACAGTGTTTGCCTTTTGTATTCATTTGTTAAATACAATTCTCCTAGGCAAAAGTAAACTCAGTCACCCCCAAACCCTAAACCCCAAACCCCAAACCCCAAACCCTAAACCCTAAACCCTAAACCCTAAACCCTAAACCCTAAACCCTAAACCCTAAACCCTAAACCCTAAACCCTAAACCCTAAACCCTAAACCCTAAACCCTACTCAGTGCCGCGCGGCGTGGGAGGCAAGATGGGCCAGGCGGTTGCCCGCTCCGGGGAGACACTGGTCAGTGGCCTGGATGAAGAAACGGCGCATTTCAAGTCTAATATAAGGTTTAGGGTTTAGGGTTTAGGGTTTAGGGTTTAGGGTTTAGGGTTTAGGGTTTAGGGTTTAGGGTTTAGTTAATATAGGGGTCGGAATAATTACTAATAAAAGTCTAGGGGTCGGAATAATTGCTGATGATGTTCCCTTATGGTCCCTTCGTAATTATACTATACTAACCCCCAAAACCCTATTCTACTTGTTCAGGCCCCTATATTAGGTGGTCACTGGTAAGGCCCTTGCACAGGACTTGACCATTTGGAGATGCCCTGATTGTCACTTTAGATAAGCCTACAGGTGCAGGGCCGTGCATAAACGAAGGTTTAGGTTTTGGAGCTGCTACTCAAAGAGTTGCCTTCGTGGTTACATTTAGGTTCGGGTTTTTGGCTTAACGAGGGTTTCAGTTACATGCAGGCAGCCAGGACTCCCCCCCCACCTCCCAGCAACACAACACACGAAAGCATGTCCGCATGCTCTTCTTGTATTTGTTCTGCCTTGGGAGGTGGGGTCACTAAGGCCTTTGTGGACCTATCGGTCTCCAAGACCTTCCAGAAACACCCCTAAAGCTCTTAACCCTAGGCAGCCCGCCCAGCGGCAGCCTCCCGCAAGAGGCGGCAGCACCAACCAAGGTTGTCACTTGAAGTTGTATTTTCAGGTTTAGGGAGGACAGTTCCCTTGCAGGGGCCATGAACAGCCTTAACAAATTATCTTTTGGCTTGTGAATACCAGACCCCACTGTTGCAGAGGCCATATCGAACGTTCGGAAATCTTGGGCGGCTCCCTGTAGACCAAGACAAAGATCTCGCGATGGGCTGGACGCTGTTGAAGCACTCGTCCCCTATCTAGCAATGTATCTGTAGTGGGCTTTCTGCGGCTTATGGTCTGCTGAGTAAGTGGACGAGCCTCCCAAACGAACCGTAAGCGGTCAACCCTAAGCCCTAAACCATACATCAACCGTAAACCCTAAACCCTACATAAACCATCATAAACCCTAAGCCCTACATAAACCCTAAACCCTACATAAACCCTAAATCCTTCATAAACCCTAAGCCCTACATAAACCGTACATAAACCCTAGGCTCTAAACCCTACATAAACCCTAAACCCTAAGCCCTAAACCCTAGGCCCTAAGCCCTAAACCCTAAACCCTAAACCCTAAACCCTAAACCCTAAACCCGACATAAACCCTAAACCTTACACTGCAGGCCGTGGTGCTGCAGGTCACAGGGCCATTCGGCGCACCGGCGCAGAAGGCTGCCCCCGCTTGCGGGGTTTTGGGTTTAGGGTTTAGGGTTTGGGGTTTCGGTTTCGTGCAAGTGCGAGGTACACCGCAAAGCACTCCATGCTCTGCAAGCCCTTTCGCGCCGCGCAACGTAAGTTTCCAGACGCATTGCACCTGAGCGCCAGGTCTGGGGCTTCGACACTCTGATGGTGGTTGGTGCCGGCATTGGCGTGGCTCTGACACGTTGGGTGATTTAGCCCCCCCCCCCCCCCCCCTGCCGCCCCTCCCCCGGCCCCTTCCCCGCCGCCCCTCCCCCCGCCCCTCCCAAGGATCTCCTGAACCCTTACTGCCAAAGGTGGCTTGCTCTGGCTTGCTCACCCCTCCTCCCTGGCAAGCCCAAGAGTCCATGGGCTCAACGTATGTCCTATATACCTGTCGGCACAAGGCATCCTAAATACCTTCTAAACCCCTGAACCCTAAACCATAAACCCTGGACCCTTATCAGTGCGTGGGCCCATGCCAGAGGCCACAGGGTATCTTTTCGTGACAAGGCAGGTTTACAGTGCTGCAACGTGCGTCGAGACATCCCTGAACCCTTGCAACCTTTCTCCATGACCAGACACAGCTATGACTACGTAGGCACAGTTCCCCCGGCTTCTCAAGGGTATCTTTTGGGAGCTTTCAGGGTTCAGGGTCTTTACCCCAAAACCCCCAACCCCAAAACCCGCGCCATAAAATCCCCAACGGCCGAGAGCCTTAGGTCACCCCGTTTGCCTCCATCCTGCGGTCGGTGCAGCTGCGCTCCAAGCAGAGGGAGACGATCATGACGCTTGGCCGGTGGTTCCCATAGTCCCCTGTAATTAATTAGTCCCCTGCACGGGTTTTAGGGTTTAGGGCTTCAGGGTTTTGGGGATTAGGGTTTGAGGGTTTTTGGGTTTTTGGGTTTTAGCGTTTCAGGGTTTCAGGGTTTGAGGCGGTTTTGGGGGATGTTCAGACCTCCCCCTAAGGTCCCTTATTGGGTCCCTCCTTTAGCCCCTTGAAGCTAGGGTTTAGGGTATAATGGACAGGCAATGGGCTCCCAAAACTACGGCACTCAGCCCTACACGGGATCTTTGACATGATCTGCAACGTCGGTGCAAGTTCTATACAATGGATCCCTGGCAAAAAGCTACAGCTACAGCTTGTGCGAGCCCTAGGAACCCACCTCCAGCGAAGTCTTTGGGCCAGTCCTCGTGTCTGCACGACCTACATACACCCTAAGCCCAAGCAAGACCTTCAACTCACAGCCTAAACCCGAAACCCTAAACCCCAGAAGCCCATCATCCCAAGTGACAAAATGCAGGAAGGCTCTCATCTCCCCCTTGTCGGGCTCTTGATCCCATATAAATCCTCAGTCAAGGAACTGCGCCGTTTGCATTCCTAGGTTTCTAGGGCCAAATTGTCCGAAACCGAAGCCCCTGAACTCCCAAACCTGGGACCTAAACCCTAAACCCTACACCCTAAACCCTAACCCCCTAAACCCCTAAACCCTAAACCCTAGTAAGATGGACTCACTCCCAGGACGGCCGCCGCCAAACCGTCGGCCTGGCGTAGCATGATGGGCAACAACAGCGGCTTCACTGCCATTGGTTTGGGAAGGGGGGGTTCTGGGTTTAGGGCTTAGGGTTTAGGGTTTGGCTTTCAGGTGTTAGGACTGTTAGGGTTTAGGGCTTAGGGTTTAGGGTTTGGGTTTCAGGTGTTAGGGTTTAGGGCTTAGGGTTTCGGGTTTAGGTTTCAAAAGTTAGGTTTTAGGGTTTAGTCATAGACCTCCATTGCCATTCTACCTCAGATACCCTCCTGCCTCAAATCATCATTCTGCTTCAACTGTTGCATGGGGTTCTCCTTCGATCTACTTGTGTGAGAAGCCGAAACTCCTGAGTGGGTCACTGCCTAGTTGGCCGCTACCACAACACATGCAATTCCTTCCCTTGAGTAGGTCCTAAGAACCTGTTCTCCATCAGCTATTCGGATTTTTTCCATTGCCCTCTGCTATCGCTTTCGCTTCTTGACTTGGTTGTCGGCACTCCTGGCCCAAGTGTACACGATAAACCAGGCTTGGAGCTGGCTCCGGTTCTTGGCCTGGATCTTTGAAATCGTGTCCTTTGAAGTGTCCAGCAAATCTTCTTGCAAGCCGGGGTTGTACGAAGCACTCGTCGAAAGCCTTCGTCGCTGTTGATTTTCAGAAACAGTTCATTACTTGCATGTGGTCAATGCTAGGCGATTAGCAATAGTAAACAAAAAAGCGGTTCTTGAATCCCAGATTCTGGCCATTGAATCGCTTGCCCGCACCCAAACGAACTTGAAAGTGAGGCAGTGTCTGTGTCACATGCACCACATGCACAGTGGTGTGCTCGGAACTGATCGGGTATCTCTGCTTGAGCCATTCTGGAACTGCCTCAACACTCGACAGCAGTCGTCTGCTGTTCCTCAGAGTCTCAGCCCATTGCCAGCCTGATTCTCGCCTGCTGCAGCCCCTGAAGATGGAGCTTGTGAACCCGATGGCAAGTCTTTCTCGGCATCGTCTTTGTCCATTGCCTGTCTGCTTGCAAATATGATGGGGGTAAACCGGCTTATACATGTTCAGTGGTGAAGGGGCACCACCTGAGTACACAGTGCGACAGGGAATGCCCAAGGGACAGGCCCTGTGCAATCTTTTATCGGGGTTTTGTTCCTAGTGCCTATGTTTTGAGGAACTTCTATTGACAAACCATCGTGATGTGAAGCCCACAGGCCTGCTCGTCCTCTTTCTCAATCTCATCCAGCATCTTTTGCGCCAGCTCCACTTCCGGATCTGGTACACCGAACATTTCGCTCTGCAGCTCCTGGAGATCTTTTTCGAAACCCTAACACCTACACCTAAACCCTAAACCCTTAACCCTAAACCCTTAGCCCTAAACCCTAAAGCCTAAACCCTAAACCCTAAAACCCTACCCTAAAACCATAAAACCTTAAAACCCTAAAACCCTAAAACCCTAAAACCCCAAACCCTACACCCTAAACCCTAATTAAGCCCTAAACCCTAAACCCCAAACCCTAAACCCAGACAGGTTCAAAAATGCACATTGGGTTGGGGCTGTCCGGCTCGATTTCTTCCTCCTCTGCGTCGTCGTTCTTGTGATTTTTTTGGGCCCTTTTCTTGTCCATGTTGTCCAAAAACTTTATCAAATCATCCAGCTCTTGTTTGGAGCAGCTTTGCTCGACTTCGGGAATTTTCAGAAGCAGCTTGATCTTGAAGCTCTTGGTGGCATTCTTTCTCGAGGCCACTCCAAACGATGAAAGCAGCTGCTGCAAAACAGCCGCGGTGAGCTTGATCACCTTTCTTGTTTTCACCAGATCAACCAGAAGAGAGCGACCCATAACCGATCTCCGGAGCATGACACAGAAGCCGAGCTTGTGGGCCAGGGGCCCTTCCAGGAAGTGAACGGAGTATGGGAAAACCTCGACCTTAGATGGTTGCGAATACTATTTATCCACAGAATAAAGCAGATAGCTTAGATTGTACATGAGTCTGTTTCTTCCATATTCGCCTCGCCCAGCTTGGGCATCAAAATCTCCACAGGTCTCCTCGTTTGCAGCTGCAAGAAAAAAGTCTGAAAGCTCCGTGCCAAGCAACAGTACAGTAATCATAGCTGGCACTTCATTCTGAGGCCAGGCTTTCTTTTGGACAAATCAAGTAAAATGCTGCTCATCAGATCGGGTTTCTGTTGTTTCTTGAAGGTGAGGCACTGCACGTTTTCCCCCGGGCTCAGAGGGTCGATCTTTCGCTGCAAGTTCGTATCGGCTGGGAAGTGTGCTTCGTCAGCAACTTCGGCAGGAAGCTGACCATGGAAAGAAGCATTGTACTCGGCAAGCGGAAGCACCTCAGAAGTGTTCGATGTAAGGCAAAGACTAAACATTTGTACTTAGCGACACAGGACATAAGGCTCAAAAAGGTAGTAATCTTACCAGCACACATACAGAACTGCAGGGTTGCTTCCCACAACCATGTAGAATTTCCCGGACACTTTGACCATTTGGCCCGTCTGGCATGTGCTGGCTACCCAAAACTGGCTTGCTGCTTCTTCTGGATCAATTCGCTGCCTTTGCTGTGTCAAGGAATGACTGATTTGAAGTGTTGTGTTGGACGAAAGCGGCCAAGAAACTTTCGCGCCTGCGAGAATCCTCTCAACCAGTTGAGCTGTGTTTTGCATTGATGGAACGGGCTGGTGGAGTCGAAGGTCTTGAGAATGTTTTCCAGGTTGAGATCTCCACCTCGGCTGCGCTATTTTTGGGTTGTTAAGGATATACTTCTGGTTCGAAGCCATAAACACAAGTCTTGTTTATGTTCGTTCCGAAGGCAAATGCAAACAAGAGTCGGGAGACAAAAGAATCGGGCTTCCAGAGCTTGGGTTTTAAACTCCTCACTTCCGACCCTTCGAAATCTTCGCTCGATAGGTGCACAGGCGTCGGCCCATCTTCTTTCCGATCATTCTTGCAAACTGTGCGATTCAATGCTCGGATGCTGATGCATTGCAGATTGCTGCAATTGGCAGTGTTGTTCTTGCTGCCTCGTCGACACGAATCTTCAATGTTGGAGAAAATGTCTTCAACATTGCTGCTGAACCCGAATTTCGGATACCATGCTGCGAGCACCCCTCTCGATCTTTCGCCCAGTTTCCAGCCGTCCTGTGCCAGCGCCTCATAAATTTCGCGAACGTGGTAATAGCCGAGAAAGGGGCAGGCTTTGTGAAGCAAGTCTTTGTGCTGTGCATTGTTTTCCATCAGCACAATCATTGTCCATTCTTCTCGCATCTCCACCTGGATCCTTTGTTGCACCTGCTGTTCGCGGGACCCTTCAAGGGTCTCAACCAAGAGGGCTGCCCCCTTCGAAGGGCAGCTCTGAAGATACAAGCCATACAAAACCATCTCCTCGACACATGCGAGGGTGCACAGCAAATGGTCCTCAATCATCTGCTCGGTCGCCGGAGTTCTTCTCAAAGTCACTTCCAGGACCTGCAACTTAAGGGCACCGAATTAGTTTTCCAAAAAGTTGGGGAAGGCCAAAAGAAAAGTACCATGAATGTTTCAGTCGCTACAGACCGTACACCCTAAACCCAAAATAGTAAACCCTAAACCCTAAAACCCTAAACCCTAAACCCTGAACCCTGAACCCTGAACCCTAAACCCTAAACCCTAAACCCTAAACCGGGCTGCCGTGCCTACTTTTCGAAATCAGTGGCTTGGCTTAACAAAGATTCGATCAGGAGCAAGATACCCAAGGATTTAAGGCAAGTCTTCGGGAAACACAAGTTTGAGCATCAGAACGTCGATCCCGGCTGTGCATAGGGTTGAGGGTTTTGGGGTTAGGGTTCAGTGCTCTTTTTGGTCGTATACTTTTGCCTGATGTCGAGGGCTTCTGCACCTTAAGTGCTCATGAATTTGCTGAGTCTCGTCCCAGAATAGGCTGGGCGTAGCTCAGCTATGAATTAACATGAGTTTGCGGAAAGTATGTGGAGAGGCTGTGGAATCAGCCGAACACGTCCTTGTCGTTGTGTGTCCAAGAATCGGTGAAGAACCAAGCATACGATCGAAGCTGCTGTTTCCATCTGAACATAGCAGTCTCCCATTTCCTCTTCGGTATCGAGTGGTGGTAATTGGGCGTCTTTGGGAGCGACTGGTCATCTAAGTCAGGTGGGCCATGCTGGGACAGCATCTTGTGCACGATTTCGTACTTGTACTGCTCCTCTGTCTTCGTTGCATGTATCACACGCAATCTCTTCTGCTCCACTTCCTGGGGGCTGAGTCGGCGAGGTGTCGGCTCGTTTTCCATGG